GATGCTGTATGCTGTTAACTTACAGTGTTGCTGCCTTTCTTCTTTAACACTGCTTACCTAATGCGGATTCTACCTGCCTCCCTGTGGGCATTGGCAATAGCCCTCAGGCAATGTTTGGGTGACCCATGAAGAAATGGAAACTCTTGCTGCTCCAGCTAAAACGGTTAGTTTCAACAACAGCTTTTCATATTTACTTCAATGTCAAAGTGTGGATTTTACAGTTATCACTATATGTGAATAAGCTATAGAACAGCTGAATATTGTTTTACACAATATTTATTTGAATCTTAAGCTATGTACGCTGAATATTCCGTATATACAAGGAGGTCACTGTACAGTTAATGAGTCCGATAATTCATGCCAAAATAAATAAAAACAATAAATGGAGGTGCTTCTGAAGAAATGGTCTGGCTTTTCACCAATTGTCGAGTGCAGCCTGTGTATATTTAGTCAGAAGTAAGTCCAAACTGTACATAAGGTTGTAGCAATAATCACAATTTTGAATTGTGTTTCTATTAGTTTGTTCATTTTGTTTTCTTGGTGCAGCAATTATTGCTGTTTGTTTAACTAGGCTAGACTGGAAATAATTCTCTGTAGTGATATATATTGGCTGAAAAACTCCTTGTGAAAATGTGCATTGACGACAGGTTGTTATGACAACATAGTGCCCGCATTGCTGATGCAGTAACATGCTTTGTGACATAGTGCTAATCCCAGAGGTATGATGGCAGACTGTTTACTTAGGACAAATTCACACCATATATTTAAAGCACTATGGTACCAGTCATGGCTTCCCCCAAGGAATCCTCAGAGTTGCAATTTGTTAAGGGTGCTGAGAATGGTTATTAGGAGACCCACCTGTGCCCCTCACAGAGCTACAATTTTGAGAGTTCCCTGCAAAGAGAGGTTGACTGACCATACTGTCAGCTCAGAATTGGCTACCTCTGCCCCATATTCCACCATTAAGTCTGTCCTTATGCTTACCTATTTCCATTACATGAATAAATCTTCCCAGTTATATTTACACATTCCCCCTCTCCCTGCCAAATATGAAAGCAATTAAGCTTTGAAAGCAATGATAGACAAAATGAGAATCAAACTGTTCCCATATCAGCTGTTTTGTGTGACCATGTGGGACATTTCTGTCAGTTCAGTAAATTCCCTCAAAATGTGTGCATTCCTCACCGTTTAGATGGGCCAGTGTGAGATGTAGTAGCGTAGAGCATGAAACTGCTTCTTATCTCACTTTTAATTTTATTAAGAGTATTTTGTTAGCCGGCAGTTAACCCTGCTGTAGGTTGACTTCATTACCCTTCTGTTTGAAACGCACAATTAATGTAAGGCGCTGTATCTGTTTTTTTGCTTTTTTTAACTCATGCTCTATTTCTTTTTGTGTTATTAACTCACTTTACTAACGGCTGTCCTCAACACTGCAGAAAGAGAATGAGGAAGGCAGCTGGGCTCAGGTAGGAACCTTTTCCAGTGTGACTAACAATAGCTCAACATCTGGCACTAGGGAGCTGTCAGCCCCTTCCACAGAAGAGTTCAGTGCTTGCTCTTCATATTTATTTAAGTATTAGAAGCCAGGGGTATTTTAATGGTCTGGTTCTTTTTTCTCTTTTTGTTAAGACAAGCTGGTTTTGTGCTGCTAATTATAACCGAGCCCCAGGCAAAAGCTTCAGTGTGCCTTAAAGGGTTAACCTACACTGAATGGACCTCTCTCACTCAAGAATTAATCCCCCCCCCTTTACTGCAAGACAGGCAATCCAAGATGCTTTGGGCAAGTGATGAGAGAATTGCCTCCTTGGGAATATGGATGGTGGCTTGATCGCCTGTCCTGGAGTGGGGAACTTCTGGACTGTGGGCCTGACCTACCTATAACAAGGGTAGTGAACTTTGTGGAAAAGCTGGCAAAGGGACCTCCTGGAGAAGAAAACCCACTTTTCCGCAAAGTTCACTACCCTTGTCACTAGGCAGTGGCTTGTGGGTTCTCTTCAGTGCTGACATCTGAATGAGAAGGGTCTGCAATACATGCCTGCTAGAACCTGAAACTTTTGAAGGCCAGTCTACACATTATACCAGCCACATGGAGGCCAACTGAAATGATTTTTCCATGGCAGTTCCACAAAACTAAAATAACACCATTTCATCTCTCAAGATAATTTTATTAGGATTAGATATAAATCCATTGTATATGCCAGCCTATTACTTACATGCCAAACCTTGTCTTGGCTGAGGTTTCAGAAGCTTCTGAAAGTTTTGATTTCTGATATAGATGGTAGGAATCACTCGTCATCATAGGATGCCTTTCTCCTGTGGCCAGAAAGGGCCCTCATGGATAATATTGCTTTATATTTCCTTATTTCTTCTGTGCCCCTGTTTGCTAGACTAGGAATGCTGATTGTTGATTAGAGCTGATCAAATGATATTATGGCATACATAGAGTACTACCTAATATTACGAACGGAACTGGAACATCAAGAGAAGTGCAATTGTTCTATACTATGGACGCCAGTAATATATTTTCTTATTCTTCACTACCTTCCACCCCAGACTCTTGCTTATGGTGACATGAATCATGAATGGATTGGTAATGAATGGCTTCCTAGTCTGGGATTGCCACAGTATCGAAGTTACTTCATGGAGTGTTTGGTAGATGCAAGGATGTTAGATCACCTGACAAAAAAAGATCTCCGGGTACACTTAAAAATGGTGGATAGCTTTCATCGGTGAGTTAGCACAGTATCTTCATTTATTTATTAATTATTAAAACTATGTTTATGCTACTTTTAAACCAGAAATAAAAGTGCTGATATTACCAAAGCCAAATGTTTATATCTGGGGAAAAGATATACGATTCCCCCCGCAGATATATAAATCATTTCTACAGTTTGTCTCATGTGAACAGAAAGAAGATGTTTACAGTATTTATAAAATGTTTTAAGTGGAACTTTTCAAATGCACAAAATCTTCCAAAATTGTTTACTTTCACTGCAACTTGCCTTATAATGTCCCTTTCCCCACCTTATACAACAGAACAAGTCTGCAGTATGGAATCATGTGTTTAAAGAAACTGAATTATGACAGACAAGAACTAGAAAGGAGAAGAGAAGCAAGTCAGCATGAAATAAAAGGTAATACTTTACTGAAGGAGGATATCTTTAATGCTTGTCTTCTGAATTTTTATTCTATTGGACTCAATAGCCCCAATGTAGTTATATGAACAAGTTCTTTCAGGCTCAGAATGGGCTTGTCTAAAATGAAATAATTCCTTGAGGCTAAGCAAGAAATTAAACGTTTATTCATTATTAGATGGAATCAGCATAGACTTATCAGCACATTTCAAGGAAATGTAGCCATCGTACAAATTAACGGGAATTTTAAAACACAATATATCTGAACAATGCAACATTTAATTACAAGTCTCTTGAAATTTCCTCTTATTGTATTGCTGTTTTTTGGATTTGAAAAGTCCATATAATGAAATTCCTATATAAATTTAGAACTGGTTCAGCTCAGCCCTCCGTGCGTTCTTGCACTTCTGAAAGTTCAGTCCTTGGGAAAATGCTTTTCTCCCTCCTTTTCATAGATGTGTTGGTATGGAGTAATGACAGAGTCATACGCTGGATACAAGCAATTGGATTGCGAGAATATGCAAACAATGTGTTAGAAAGTGGGGTGCATGGATCGCTCATAGCTCTGGATGATAACTTCGATTACAGCAGCTTGGCTTTGTTATTGCAGATTCCAACACAGAATACACAGGCAAGTAAACTACATTGCTAATTGTAATTATTTCCCATGGATTTTAACTTTTTTTTAAAAAAATTGCTTCAATTGTTTGATTTGGTTAACCATAGGCACGGCAGATCCTTGAGAGAGAATACAACAATCTGTTAGCACTAGGAACAGATAGACGACTTGATGAAGTAAGTAATTTTATTTATACTTAATAGGTAGCAGAGAATATGAAATGGTTGATTTTGGTCCTCGTATAGATACATACCCCTGCTCGCTTCGCCCACTAACCCTTTTTAAGCTGGAGATTCTCCTTCCCAACCCATGCAACTACTAAGCTAACTTTTCCCCTTTTGGGGGCCACTTCACTCTTCTATTCTGCAGTCCTGCTTTGCACCCCTTTTCACCTTCACCCGCATATCTCTTCCTCCTCCTCCCCTCATCTTGTGCTATTTCCTCCCCCCTGCACACAAACCACTCCCATGGTGACTGACGTTAACATATGAGAGTGCTGGAGGTGAAATAGTTAAACAGGTTACCCAATCAGGACCCAGGGGGTGGAGTCAGAGGGACTATAAAACCAGCTCTGGGAGGGGCAAAGGGAGAGTTCGTTGGGAGTTGGGTGGTTGGTTGGAGTGGGAGTGAATGGGGATAGAGTTTGTGAGTAGGTTGAGTTAGTGTAGCGAAATAAGCTGAGTGAGGAATAGTTAGGGACTAGGAAGACAAGTAAACATCTGAGAGGTGGTTTAGTGAGTGACAGCAGGTAGCGGAAGTTATGGGACTGGATAGGCACCCCATGATTGTAATTGACCGATACCGTTTATGAAACCACACGCTTGTTAAACTGCAATAAATAAACAAAAGTTTATGTTCCAATTTAACCCAGACTGGACTCGGTATTGTACCAGGTAGGGCCTGGGTAGTGGCAGCGAGAAATAAAGTGGTGGCACAGGGATCAATAGACGGTGAAACGTCTGGGGACCCTGTGTGATCGCCACAGAGACCTCTTGCATCTTCCATACATTGCAGCTAAGCACCCATTTCACATTCGACCCAACCATGAAGCCGCCATCTCCTCTTATTCTTCAGACCCTTTCCCCTGTCTTCTACTCCCTCTTTGTGCAACCCCCGTGGCATCTCTTTACTCCACCCTCCTCCTTTCTTCTCCTTTGTACACAGATCGCCCCATTCCCATGCCTTCTCCTGTCTATTGTGTAGGTCTCTGTGCACCTACACACCATTATCACCTTCACCTTTTTCCCCCCTTCCTCTTTTTGTTTTTGAACTTTCCCTTCACAGAGATCACCCCCATTTTCAGGCTTTCCCCTCTCTCATTCTGCAGTCCCCTTTGCATACACAGCCCATACTGATATGTTACTGTATCCTTATGATGACTACAATGTTAAGAAAAAACCTGTCAGTTTTAGAAGAGTTTAATTCAGTTGATGAATGTTGTACATACATGGGTGTTTTCTTATTAATGAAATATCTCTTTTAACTACAACATTGAATCTTGAACTTCCATGTTGAAGGCAGCACATGGTACCAGGAAATGCATGATTGTGGAGAGGTACTGTAGAATATTTGAGGGCTTTGCATCCTTGATCTCTCTCATATGAGACAGCTGAGGAATGGAAGAGGAAGAAGTTTGAAAAAGCCATATTATTATTTTCAATTACTTTCTTCTTGCTGTATTCAAACAATGGCAAAGCTTTGAGCAAAGCAGGAATGGAAGGACACTGAAAGGTTGCTGTTTATATCTATATTTATCTATCTCTTATACACACACACACACACACACACACACACACACAGACACACACAGACACACACACCCCACCAGATTTAACAAGGAAAAATAGCAGTGATGGGTACAACACAGAAGCTAATACAACAGAGACTTTCCCAACTTCCTCCTTGCTATACTCAAGCTTTGTTTTAAACCTGCAGTTCCCCCAGGTCGCTCTCTGCTCAGTCTAGTCAAAATTCTGCCATTCTTTAAAATCCCCTCTCCATTTTTCTATCTCTGCTGTTCCCTCTGTGCTCCTTCCATCCCTTCTTTACTCAGTCTTTTACTGCTGAGAAGCCTGCCTTCTCTTTTGCTCTCCTATCCTAGCCTGACTTCATGCAAATTCAGGATTGTGATGAAATACTGCAAATCCTCCACTGGAGGCTGTGCAATTACAATCTTACAAAACGCAGCTTTTAGTAAAAAATAAATAAATGTACTAGTCAGTTTCATTAGTTGTGGCCCACCCACCTACCCCCATTTTTTGATTATATTCTTAATATCACTGTTCACATGACATTTTAGATAGGCATACATCATCCCTCTTTAATCTTTTGGTAATTTGTTAAATAATAAAACCACAGAGGTATATTAGTTAGAGTATCTCAATGGTGGCTGGCAGCATATAATCTCCCCAGCACTCCAGTCAGCATCTTCCTACCCATTGGGTCCAATGGGAACCATATCAAAGTTGAGGGTTATTTATTACTGTATTTTTCACCCTATAGGACACACTTTTTCCCCTCCAAAAATGAAGGGGGAATGTGTGTGCGTCCTATGGGGCGAATGCAGGCTTTTGCTGAAGCCTGGAGAGCGAGAGAGGTCGGTGCACACCGACCCCTCTCGCTTTCCAGGCTTCAGGAAGCTCTGCGCAACCCTTGGGAGACTGGCACGACTTCGCGCCAGTCTCCCGAGGGTTGCGCAGAGCTGCCTGCAGTCCCAGGCTTCGCGCAGCTCTCTGCAAGCCTGGGGAGACCGGCGCGACTTCCCGCCGGGCTCCCTAGGCTTGCGGATAGCAGGCTGTGTTCTGGGGGCTGGGGTCGGGGGAAGCTCGGGCTTCCTCCGCACCAGCCCTGCGCCTGGGGGGGAAATAATTATCCCCCCCCCAAAAAAACAACTAGGTGCGCCCTATGGGGCGAAAAATACGGTACATTCCATTTGATGCTCTGTTGTGCACATCCTATATTTCAGTGTCTCTATCTGGCTCACTTTTTCACTGCGTTCTGGCCATAGAGGAGTTGTTGTTGTTGTTTAGTCATTTAGTCGTGTCCGACTCTTTGTGACCCCATGGACCAGAGCACGCCAGGCACTTCTGTCCTCCACTGCCTCCCGCAGTTTGATCCATAGAGTAACAATGCCTATATATGGACCATTTTATCTGGCTATGCTCGAAAGGAATGATAAAGCTATACATTGGCCAGCCTAGAACAAGATTCCCTTGTTAAGTATCTGTTTCTATTTGTAACAAGCAGAAGTCCACCTTTCTATTGATAACTATTCCTCAACTGTTCAGTTTTAACTACCCAGAAGACTAGCTTTCAGTTTTAGCAAAATTAAATACTATATTTGTGTGTCAACAGAGTGATGACAAGAATTACAGGAGAGGTTCTTCCTGGCGAAGACAGTTCCCCCCACGTGAAGTCCATGGAATCAGCATGATGCCTGGCTCCTCAGAAACACTGCCAGCTGGGTTCAGATTAACTACAACATCAGGACAGTCACGAAAAGTGGCAACTGATGGTATGGGACGAACGCTTATTTTCATAACTAAAGGTGTCTAAGCATTCATTATCTATGTGGAAGAAAATATGCCAACCTTGCATAAGCAATATAGCCAGCAGCAAAGCATCACTGACTTAGGTGCTGGTTGGTGTGGAATATTTACACATAAAATGTGTTAAGAATGTAATACTAAACCATGGTTTAGAGGTACATGAAAGAGCTGCAGCAAACCTTGGGCTCATATGCTTGTCCCCGTGCTCCCTACCTGTATTTACACAGTTTCAAATGCCTGAAAGGGGTGAATGTATTTTTCATTTCTACATTTTATTTATCCATTTTATTTATTCTTTATATTTATAACCTGCCCTTCATCCATGCGGCTACAACTAATTGAGCTAAGAAGCAGTACAGTGGTACCTCGGGTTAAGAACTTAATTCGTTCCGGAGGTCTGTTCTTAACCTGAAACTGTTCTTAACCTGAAGCACCACTTTAGCTAATGGGGCCTCCTGCTGCCACCGGATCCCGATTTCTGTTCTTATCCTGAAGCAAAGTTCTTAACCTGAAAGCACTATTTCTGGGTTAGCGGAGTCTGTAACATGAAGCGTATGTAACCCCAGGTACCACTGTACACACCTTCTTTCCCCAATTGCCTCATATCATCACAAGAGCAAAAAGAGAACCTTCCCCCCCCCCAACCACATGGTCTGCCTGCTGTGTCTCCTGTTCCAGAAGATCTCCATATATGGGTGTGAATGAATGAATTTACTTTATTCGGTCACAGACCAGCATAAGCAAAATATCTAAGTAAATAGCATAACATATGGGTGTAATGGTCAAATAGGTAAGGTACATACAAATGCCCTGATAGCAGGGTCAGAATCTTTTTTTAAAAAAATCTGGGACACAGATCAGGCACTCTGGATATACACCCTCTTTGAACATTAAGTGTACGTGTGCGCATCTGAAGTGCGACAGGTGCATTCTCTCTTCCCAACATGTATAATGGAGCAAATCTGCAGCTGTACCCACTGTCCCAGTCCCTAGTGATAACTACTCAGTACTATTTTTAACAAATGAAAATCGAATGGGGGCAACTGTGCAATCCACACTAAATAAGCTTCAAGAGTTGGGTCACAGAGAATACCTTACAGAGTGGGCTCCATGTTTTTTTCCTCTTCCTCTAATTCCAAGATTCTTCTTGTTGTGTTGGTTATCAATTTGCAGTGGCGTCAGCGCGGTTGCAGAGACTAGACAGCTCGACAGTTCGCACGTATTCGTGCTGACAAGGCTGGCATGCAAAAAACGACGGAGGTGAACTCATGTGAGTAATTAAAAAGCTATCTTATTTGTTGTTGGGGTGGAGTGGGCAGAACTGAAACAATAACCATAGCAGTGTAGGGTTCTCTCAAAGGGCCTAGGAAGTTCTCACTGAAGTACGTCTGGGCACTGGGATAGTGAAGGTATGCCTGGGCTATACAACTTCTGACTATTCTTAGACTTTGTCTGCACATTAACAGCATTGAGCAATAAGCAGCTATGAGTTCTCAACATCTAAGCCTAGGGATGAGACTCAAATGAATCTAAGGAACCTGCCTGCAGCCTAAAGAGTAGAACAGGGTATAGAGGACTAGGTCTGAGTGATAACTGGTTTTTAACATTGTGATGTATCAGCAGCTAAATACCAGTGTGTGTGAAGTGTATCTTGGCTGCTTCTTCCTCAGAAGCAGCTGAAGTACATCGCCCAGTCCCGTGCCCCTCAGCTGATCAAGCTTCTCCCCTCTGGCTGACGCGAGTGGGAGGGGGCTTCCTCAAACCACTCAACTGAGGGGTGGGAAGCCTCCCATACTGTTCTGGCAGCTTCCACAAGCCAGAGGCAGGGCTTGGTTGATCCAGGAGTGACTGACCAGAAGAGTACACCCTGCAGAGGCTGCACAGTCACCACTTCTCAGCTGATCACGCCCCACTCTGGCTCCTGTGATCCAGGGGAGGGGAGAAACTGCTCCATTGAGGAGCATGTGAATATTTCTTTTCCATAAACCCCAATTTACCGTATTTTTCGCACCATAGGACGCACTTTTTCCCTCCTAAAAAGCAAGGGAAAATGTGTGTGTGTCCTATGGAGCAAATGCAGGCTTTCGCTGAAGCCTGGAGAGTGAGAGGGGTCGGTGCGCACCGACCCCTCTCGCTCTCCAGGCTTCAGGAAGCTATCCGCTAGCCGTGGGAGACCCAGCTCTCCCACGGCTAGCGGAGCGCTGCATTAATCCCGAAGCTTGGGGCGTGCGGAGCTCAGCGCGCCCCAAGCTTCTGGGTGCCGGCAAGGTCTCCGCTAGCCGTCTAACGGAGACCTTGCTGGCACCCAGAAGCTTGGGGCGCGCTGAGCTCCGCACGCCCCAAGCTTCAGGATTAGCGGTCCGCTAGCCGTGTCTAGGCTGCGGATAGCAGCCTGCTTCCCGGAGCGTCGGGCACCCTGAAAGCAGAGCGCCCGGCGCTTCGGGAACACATCCGCAGCGTGGAGAGCCTTGCAGGAGTTCCCCGCAAGGCTCCCTACGCTGCGGATAGCAGCCTGCTTCCCGGAGCGTCGGGCGCCCTGAAAGCAGAGCGCCCGGCGCTTCGGGAACACATCCGCACCGTGGAGAGCCTTGCAGCAGTTCCCCGCAAGGCTCCCCAAGCTGCGGATAGCAGCCTGCCGCCCGGCGGGTGGGGCGCCCTGAAGCAGAGCGCCCCGCACGCTAGGCAGACATCAGCCAGCCCCACAAGCTCGGGGGACAGCAGGGAGGTGCAGCGCCACTATCCCGCTGTTCCTCGACCTGGTTCGGTTTCCCTGACCTGCTTTTGGGGGGGGAAATAAAGGGGAATTTTTTTTCCTTTATTTCCCCCCAAAAAAACTAGGTGCGTCCTATCGTGCGAAAAATACGGTACTTTCCTCTGTTTTATCATGTGTCTTACTTCTGCTCCTTGAGCATAGCTGGGTGGAATCCAGAGTGGCTGGAGCAACCCAGTCAGATGGGTGGGGTACAAATAACAACAGTCACACAATTTTTGACACTGCAAAATAGCACCTTCAGGGCAAATGTCAACCATGATGGTGCACTTTTCAGCAGAAAACTAGCATAGGACCCCATCCACATTTGAAGCAGATTCCAGCACCGGGCCCCAAGATGTATTTTGTTCCAAAATAAAAGCGGCCAGATGTAACACACTTGTTTACACACATCATTAATGTCATGTGTAGTTTAGCTCTGAATGGAGAGGGGGAAAGGCTTTTCCTTTCTCCCAAGCAAAAAACATTAAACCAAATGAGGACAAAAACACTGAAATGGAATAGCTTGTAATTAGAGCTATGTAGGCTATTGTTAGCATGCCAAGGGTATGAAATGGAGTGCCCCAGTACATTACATATTTCACTGCAAGTTCAGATAGTAAAGAGCCAATGCTTGCAAATATCAGACCTATGATTATCTAATCTACTGCTACTACCACAGTCAGCCATCGCTTGAGAATACAAATTCTAAAATTAGGAAATACAAACAGCACTAGGCAGACAAAAATAATGTGCTAAAGGTATAGAAAAATGAATCAGTGCAATTTGCAAGGACTACTACTACTACTATTCAAGAGTGCAGTCTATGGGTTCATTGCAAATACCATTGCCCTTGACATTTATTCCACTAGTAGCTACAGTAATTTATGGACCAATACTATCACCAATGACATCTGAAACATTTCCCAACCTGCATCTATCAAAGGAAACATTCTACATTACCAATAATCCTACTAGAGAGAGAAAAAAGCAACCCAATATATTACCTTAAAAAGATGCAAAACAATTAAGATAGTGAAATTCCAACTGGGCTTTTTATTGTATTAGCATGTCTGCTTTGGTATATTATACAGTGGTACCTCTGGTTACGAACTTAACTCGTTCCGGAGGTCCGTTCTTAACCTGAGGTACCACTTTAGCTAATGGGGCCTCCTGCTGCCGCACGATTTCTGTTCTCATCCTGAGGTAAAGTTCTTAACCTGAGGTACGACTTCCAGGCTAGCGGAGTCTGTAACCCGAGGTACAACTGTATGACTAAACAATTACAATCCAAAGTCTCACAGAAAACAGTATCATTTACCCTGATTGCTTCAGGTAAAATATGTATACTTCAAAAATGTTAGGTCTGAGTGGAAAAGGAATCTGGGGCTGGTAGCTCAATACCTACAGATACTGCCTATGTTTAAATTTCCTTAGTGCCTCAAGACAGATTTTCCCCATTGTGTCCGCAGCCCCTTTTCTCCACAATAATCCTGCCTGCTTCAACAGGGCTGTGCTAGAAGCCATTTACTACTCATTAATAATGAGCCTGAGATAGAGATCACCAACCTTTTTGGGGGCACCACATGTTGTAATCAAGCACACACCACAACTTATTGTATTGGCTACACCAGAATGGTTTTTGAGCCTAATTTCTGTAGAGGGATAAAGAAGGGTGCCCTGGATTGCCAGGGAAGACTTCTGCAGGGCCCACAGGCACCATGTTGGAGACCCTGGGGCTCAGTAACAGAATACTGTAATGGAGTAATTACTGAATGCACTATTTTCCCCCCACCTCTAGATGCCAACTCTTCTACTTTACCTGAAGTGCACTACCACCACGTTATGAAAAGAAGCTTTTTATTCAAGAACAGGGTATAAGGAAGTACACTAGAATATTTATCAGACTAAACTACATGGAGATCTTTTTACAAATTGCGTTTTAAGGTGCAACCTGCCAAGTACTACCATCATGCAACTCTAATTCATTTCAGTGGAGGTAACCTAAGTTTCAGACAGCCCCATTGAAATGACTAAAGAATGTGCAGCAACAGTACTGGCCGGACTGCGCCCATTGGGTAGTTCAATAAGGTAATAGTTACTAATTAAGTTTTTTTTAAAAAAAATAAAAATAAACCCCAATGTATCTATCATCATAAATTTGATTGAAGTGCAGGAAAGCTTTTATCAAAAGGAGACACTCATTTTTAAACTTGTTTCATCTGTTTTATTGTAAAATACTAGAATTTATGTATTTACTGTGTATGTATTTCTTTTAATATGTGTAAGTCTCATGTAAATGGATATAAATATGATTTTTTAAAAGAAATTAAATCTATGGTACATGGGGTCTTAGTGCAAACACTTGACAATACAGTGTCAACAATACTGTTTGTATCCTTCCATTCCACCATTTTTACAGTTTTGAATTGTAGCAAAGTCAATTGGATATGTTTAGCAGAGTTATTAGATGCTTCAACATGTTCCTACTTTTTAAAAGAAATCTGTCAATATTTAAAGCTCAACACCTGCCTCTGATGATTTACAAAAGAAAGATTTGAGCCAAAAATGGACCTCTAATGGCAAAACACAATTGTTATATATACTTGTAGAAAAGCACTGTGACGGCTCTCCTTTTTAATATCAACAAGATCAAAAATCAACTACAGGACGTTAACAAGAGACATTCTCCTCAATGGCTACTTATGGACCAAGAAGAAACTAGCTTTTTCTAGGACTCACGTTTTGCCTTCCAAATTCTTCAAATGCTGGCCAACGTTGGCATAGAACAAACATCAAGGGGAAATAAATCCTGATCTTCAAGTTTTCAGTTATATAGAAAAATGCTGCCCTCCATTTCTTCATTATAATAGGCATTAGACAGCTGATTGTCTAATAACATGTTTATCCAAGACGGCCTTGCTGAGACTTCTCGGAAGTCAACCTTATCAGAGGAACCAACTGAAAGGCAGAAAAGTTAATATATAATGTACAAAAGCTTAGAGGAGAAACTATTATCTGCTGTGGCTTTATTTGGTGGTGTTATTGATGTTTATTCTTTGTTTATATGGGAAGTTTCAAAGTAAGACCTATTTAATAATGTCATTTACCTTCTATTTGCTAATCTCCCGCTGCCTGATCTTAGCTTCAGACCTGTCTTTTGGTTATTCCTTTCAGCAGGTTGATCTGCAAAACATCTGCACGTACATTTGTTTTACTGCATTTTGTTTTGCTTTTTTTACTTAAACAGACCTCAGTTAACCAAATGGTGACAGATTCTTTTTCTCCCCCGTTGTCAATAAAAGAAAATCAGTGCTGTTTTATGTGTTCAATGTCTGATGGAACTGCATGGTGTGTCACAGCTTCAAATGGAACTTTAAGAGGCAAACATTGCTTCAGGGGTATAAGCATAACGTTTTCTATTAACAAGCAACCAGAATGTGCTTTGAAAGATAATAATGCCGTCTGCCACAAGATGGTGCACTGAACGTATTGCTTCATAGAAAGTAACGTACAAAAGGGGTTCCTTCTAAGTAAACTTTGCTACAACCACCAAGACACTGGCTTGATCAATTGAATATAACTCTGTTGTTGTAACCACTGCTGTAACATGTCTTCAAAGTTCCAAACGCTTTCTAGACCAATATACAGCTGGAATCAAAGGTACTAGCAACGTGGTAATCTAATTCTCCAACCACTGTTTGATCCTTAGCAAGTTAGTTAAGTCCCATTGATATAAGTATGATTAGTTTTAGTTTGGAGTCAATACACTATATAACAGCACAATATAATCCTATAAATAGGGAAGGTGATTTGAATTTAACGAGGCTTACCTATGGGTAAGTATGTAGGACTGCAGCCATAATGAATTTTTGCTGAAGCCTACAGATGCCTCAGTTTCTTTTCTAGCTACCATGTGTCCTAGAATAGAATTAAGACTACTATGAAATACACCAGGCTTCCTCAACGTTGGCCCTCCAGATGTTTTGAGACTACAATTCCCATCATCCCTGACCACTGGTCCTGTTAGCTAGGGATGATGGGAGTTGTAGGCCAAAAACATCTGGAGGGCCAAGGTTGAGGAAGCCTGAAATAAACGAATTCTAATAGTAATTCAGTAGACAACTATAGCAAGAGCTTCTCAAGTTTTTCTCTTCTGCCCAAAACTGGTGGGTATATTTGTTCCCTACATGGGCGCACAACACCCTACAGGTGGGAAAGGACCTATTAGCTATAGGGCTCAATAATACCTCTCTCACCTTTACGATGTGCATATAGACATAAAGAGGCATGACAATGACAAGAAATGAGAAATCTATGTTCCTCCCATTTGTTGTTGTTTAGTCATTTAGTTGTGTCCGACTCTTCGTGACCCCATGGACCAGAGCACGCCAGGCACTCCTGTCTTGTCTGGTCCATGGGATCACAAAGAGTCGGACACGACTAAACAACAACAAATGGCATTTCCTCCCATATATACGTGTAACTTTAGGGTTCATGTAACTTTCAAAAGCAAATGGAAAAGTATAGATGTGAGAGGCATACAAATACCGCCTTTAACTATTCTAATGCTCTGCCTACCTCCATACTTGGGACACATGTACAAAGGAGTGTGTATGGGAGAAACAGCACTTTGATGCCTGTGACTCACCTCCCATATACGATTTCCATATGCTGCTGTTCCAAATTAATGAAGAGCCAGTCCTGCAGATACCTGGGTCCCAGGATTCGAAGGACATACACATAATAAGCCTTTGGTCTCTGAGGTGTAGCCAAGTAGCTAGAAGGAAGACACAAAGTTAGGATAAATTGGTCCTTATGTCTTAAGTATAATAAAGCTTTAAGAGTGTCATCATGCAGTCCCCTTTGGAGGATTTGTAGTGCTGCATCACAATCCTGACTGGATGAAATCGGGGTGGGGTAGGGGCACAAAAGAGAAGACAGAGTGCACAACAGCAGGGGCTGTGACATGGGAGCAAAACAGAAGAGACAACTGAGAGGAGGAAAGTGGTGGTTTAAAACAATGGGAGAGGTCTGAATAGACTGGGAAGGGAGAAATACTGCTTTTTAAAATTAGTTTTACAAGGAAAAATAACAGGGGAAAAACATCCTTTCCCATCTCCTTTCTCGCTGTATTCAAACCCTGTTTTAAGCCATTCTCCCCACTGCAATGTCTACTCACTCGCTCTACTCAAACCTCTGCCATTGCTTAAAACCACAAAATGTTTCTCTCCATCTCTGCTTTGTTTGAATCTCTACAGTTGTTTAAAACTACCACTTTCTTCTTCTTACACTTTTTAACTCTCACCTCACCTGGGGATGTTCTTGACCATCGCACATTTAAGCAAAATCACTAAAGCCCGAACAATCCCCAAAAGACCACTTAAAAACCATTTTTCAAATGGTGGCACCTACCTGTGAGGGACGAATGAAGTCATCCTCTTCCCTCGCTGGATGATGCTTCTGATTATATGAAGACTGAGAAGTGCTTGGCTATGGTTCAGATTCAGAGGTGGGTTCCACAGGCACATCTGCTGCTATGACAGCAGCGGCTGGTATCTGTGTGAGGAACATGGTGATTGGCAGCTGCCGATGTTGTCTCTTGAGCTCATCAAACATTTTCTTGTATAGTCTCAGAGTGTCTGTAATCCCATGGATGAACTTGAGGCTGAGTTCCAAGTAGATCTGAAAGCTGTTAAGTCAACCTGGCCTGGCTTCAAATTTCATAGCAAGCAGGTCCACATCTGTGATAGAAGGTTTGAAGTCATAGAGGTTCGGTGTCTTTTGGCACAATATGCTTGCCATCCATGGAACATGTTTCCGGTTTGTGTCCTCCAGTCACAAGTTCAGTGCTTTCTCTGTCTCCACCAAAGCCTTGTCCTAAACCTCGCTGCAGTCAGTGGTGCGCTTACTGCCACAGCCCCATGGATCTCCTTTTCATACACCTTGATGGTATGGATGCTGGACTCATTCTGGCCAAATTTGCATGCCACAGCACTCAGACATGCCAGCCTTCAAGCAATCCAACAAAGCCAACACATCTATCAGCATGAGAACCACCCTCTACTTTTTTGTTTTCTCAGAAGCTGATGGTGATGGTGATGATGCTTTGTGTTTTGGTGGACTATTCTGCTGTATGAAGCTCTGCCAACCACCTCCCTCACACTCCAAACCCCTCTGTTCCCTCTCCAAATCACTCCACGAGTTTCTCAGATCTCCTCTCCAACCGCCTCTTCTGCACTCAAACACTCTCACAAACACAGCTGGGATTGCTGCTCATTTTTTTCCTGCTCTCCCACTCCCTTTCTCACCCAACCCATTCATGTAAAAGGTCATGTTTAAGTCCCCACCTCTATGTGCTGTGGAGAGACTTTAAGCCAAACTGAATACACCACCAGGGTATCTGAGATGGAATTTGCTCTACATTGGACAGAAGATTCCTGCATTGCAGGGGGTTGAACTAGATGACCCTTATGGTCCCTTTTCAACTCTACAATTCTGTGATTCTCCCCATTCCCACCACCCTCAGCTTCTACAATACTGCTGCTTTCCGGGAACCAGCAGCTGCTTTAAACATGCTTTTGAAGTGGGAGAAACGTAACATTTTCCACATGCATCCTGAACTGCAGTTCTATGAAGGCAATACTATGCGCTATTTCGAACCATTTGATTGACTCTAATCAAAGTTCTATGAAGACTTTCTAAAGTTTCTTCAACTCCCCTTTTGACTCTGCTGTTTAGTCTGTGAAGCCAAAATATGCAACAGATGTCTTAAAGCAAATGAAGGTTGAATAAACAAACACGTATAAGATTGCACCTTGAGTACTAAGACTGAAACTCTATTAAACAGAACAAAAAATGGCATTGCTTCTACACAGGAAACTGGTTTACAAAGTCAGATCAATGGTCCATCTACCTATAACAATGATTGGCAGCATCTATCCAGGTTTTCTCAGCTGTAGCTGGAGATGCCAGAGACCGAAAAGAGGGCCTTCAGCGTAAAAGTGTGTGCTACACCACTGAGGAATGGTCATCCTAAAGGTATTCAGCATTACCTCCATTTTCTATGCAGACTGGCCCAGAAGACTGGGATGAATTTGTACTTACAGGGCAATATAAAATAAGCCTTTGTTGAAAAATGATGGGAAAGCCCACTCACCACCAAGGGCTTCTCCTGTTCTGTATCATCATCATCGTTTTACCTACAGGTAAGCTCTTACATAGGGCCATTTTTTCCTTCTGTGCCCAAGGCACTGCTATTTCCACTCTTGTTCTCTGTGTTGATCATGATAATCACTTGCTGGACTTGAAGTACTGAGCTGGATCCAGATAGGTGCGGAGCTCACTCTATTACAGTGAAGAAACAAAATTGCACCTTGGGACAGGAAGTTCAGCATACAGCCGACAAGACCCAATATTCTTCTGTGCTGCTTGATTGCAGGTAAGTTTTAAATGGGTTCTAGTGATTTGGATTTCCGAAATGTAGCCTGCAAGTATGCATGAAAAAATGTGGGGGAGGGGGAGGGGGAAATGCCTTGGGTGTGATATATAATCTAAACAACTCAAAATAAAAATGGTAAATTTTATTCTCATAGCTCTAAACTTGTAAACAATGCTTTCATTAGAGTGCAGTCCTGAGGTTGTGAATGTGTTTGCATGGGTGGCTGGGTGTGAAGCTGAAAACTGACCTCCACTTCTAAACCTTGCTTGCTTGTGGCAGCCAGGGCAGCGAATCAGACAGACTTACTTTTCCTTTGCTGTGTGGATCTTTGCTCACCCCCTCAATCTTCCAGTTGATTCCAATAGGGGGGTGGGATTTAGATAAACCAGCTCCAGGGTCCTGTGGAGGGAGCACTGATCCTGGGAACCCTCCAATGAATGAAGGAGCCTTGCATCCAGCAGATTCGAGGCTGCTTCCATCCTACCCTGCCTCACCCTGACTCTGGCTACAAAAGAACCAACAGTGGTAATTCTATACACACAAAGCTAGGCAGCAGCCTCTACTCCACCCTTGCCCCCTCCAGCCAATGGATGCGGAAGTTAAGATTGCTCTACCCACCTCTTGAAACAATATTAATATATAAGCATACTTAAATTTCCCCTGTATTGGATGGAAGAAGTATGAGCACACGGATTCAAGTGTTGCACTGAAATTGATGGGGCTTAAAAGTGCTAAAATTTTGGCTGGGTGTGCCCTGCATCATCAGTTTCATCTTTGCATTCGATATAGGTTTGGAGCAGCATGAAAGTAGCAAATGTGATTATTTTAATAGCTATTTGAGCCTCAGAGAAACTGTTTGAATATCCACCATAAATCATTACACCAGCAATCCAATATTAATTACTTGCCATTGCGGTATAAGGCTTAGCAACACTTTTGCAGAAATAAAATTAGTCCCAATGTAATTTGATTTGCATGATACTCCTGGCCTAATTAAATGCAGTTATGTATTCCAGGTATTTCCAGATCTTAATAGGTTTTAACCATTACTTTAACTTGGTCTTCAGCATTTCTTCTACATGTTTAAACACAGCCGGGTCCTCAATGGTTGGAGTTATCTGGAAAAAAATAAGCAAGAGAAGAGAATCAAGATACTATGTTATAGTTAACAACAGTGTTAGTAAGTTCAAGTCTAGTCAACTTAGTTTGCCTAGAAATCATACAAAATCCCTGTATACACCATCAAAAAAGCAGTAATGTAATGGCCCATAGTCAGGAGTGGCACTGGAAAACAAAGTTTTGTAGCCAGCCCCTTCTTGTGACCAACCACTGTCAGTAGATGCAAAAAAAAGGTAATCTCACACAAAATGGTTCCTTAGTACAGAAATGGGTCAAGACAAATGCGATAAAAACTATTCCTATTTATTTGTTACCTGGCCTTCACCTTAAGGTCCCAGGACATGTTATGTTCTGAAAGTGGGTCCTAAAAATATACTCCTCAAGTGTTAAAGGTCAGGATAAAGAAGTATATATAGCAAGGGAAGGAAATGCAGGCACTATCCTAAAAGCATTTGACCCAAGGTTGTTTGGCTACACTTTGTAAATCTATACGCCTGCTACAGGGTGGTGGTATTGGAGCCAAGTTAATGGGACTGGTCTGCTTCATACAAGATATGCTGCTGCTTAAAGCCACTTAAATGCTACACAACATGCTAGGCATAACTTTAGAGGGACAGCTATAAAAGATTATGAAAACTGCAGACAGCACAGCATAATATCAAAATATCCAGCACTTTTATCACAGTAGTAGTAAAAGAATGCAGGTAATTCACCTTGTATGCCTTGCCGTTTACCAAGGAAGAAAGAGCTGACCGTGGTATCTTGCCAGAACGTGTCTTTGGTATCTGTTTCACAAACACTACTTTCCGGAAGGCTGCCACAGGGCCAATATTTTCTCTAACTCTCTTTACAATTTCATCCAAAAGCTTTTCCTCTTCAGTGTTTACTCCTGATAAGCAAGGTAAGAGCACCACGGTCAACAAAAGTAGTCTGATTCTTCTGTATGGTAACCATTTTGTTAGCTGCTACCGGCCGGGAGTCGAGCCTAAGGCTTCCCTCCGCTTTTCAAACAAATGTCTCACCGTTTCTTAGGACGCACAGAGCGAGTGGGATGTGGCCCTTTAAGGAGTCTTCCTGGCCGACAACTGCACAATCTGCCACAGCGCTATGGGAAAGAACAGCCTGATTGGGGAAACAGAGAACAACCACCACCATGCGTCAATGGAGCACACGTGTTCCTTATCAATCCAGAGAATCTGATAATGCAGAAGTCACAGTCTCTTTCCTAATTGGAATATCACAGGGAGTTTTCAGAGTCATAGTGGAGATGTCTAAGTAATTTCCTGTTGGATGGGGACTCCTTCAAAGATAGCAACCTAAAGAACTGTGGGGGGGGGCTCTTTAGATCAGGAGTGGGGAAAGTTTTACAGCTCAAGGGCCACATTCTGTTCAAGAAAGTCTTTTGAGGGCCACATGCCTGTGGTAGGCAGGAGCAGAGGCCAAAGTGGTGGAGGAATTAATGTGAGTTTCACCTCTGCATGGTAGCCTAGCTTCTGAAACAGAAGAGCATACCCCTCTGTATCCTCCATCCAGACAAGCAAGAGGCATTCTCAGAGGTCAACAATACATTCCAGTCAGGCCACCTGGGTTATGAGGCAGTGTGGCTGAGGGGTGTGGTCTGGGAAGTTTTGAGGGCCAAACGGAGAGGCCTTATCAGGCCACATTTGGCCTCCCAGCCTAAGGTTCCCTACCCTTCCTTTAGATACATTCTTTATACCGTACACTAAAAACCAACCATACTTTTCTGCTCCTGAAGGAGTCAGAGTGACCAATAAGTTAAACAAAACAAAAAACAGAATCACATTATTAAAAACACATTGTCAAAAACACAACCTGAGTTACAAAAACCACAACCTGACCTAACATCAGAAAACAGAAAAACAGAATAAAAATCAAATTGAAATAAATTAAGTAGTAGCAATAGTAAATCCTTGGCTTAAAAACAAACAAACTTCTTCAGATGCCAGCAGAACAAAGATAAGAGAGGAAGCTGACCCCTTGGGGCAGGGAGTTTCACAGATGATGTCCTGCGGTAGAGATGATGTCCTGCGGTAGAGAAAACTTCCATGCATTGCCACAAAATGTGCCTCAGAAGGCAGTGTGTCGCGCAAGGCAATCTGAAAAAACAAGCAGCTTCACAGGCCCTTCAAGTACATAGATTAAAGCCCCAAGGAGTGTGGGACCAACGGTACAAAGCCAATGCCTCTGATTGCATTAAAAACTGAATCAGCAGCCAGTGTAGCTAATACAGTGACATTGTCGCATGATCCCAACTCCTGGCCTGTCAAGATTTTAGCGGTAGCATTTTGACCCTTCTGAAGTTTCCAGGCAGCATTAGACAATGAAGCCCTTATGGTGATTCACAGTGTCCATAGTACAGAAATCTCAGTTTGCCAAGAGCAGGATTTCAGAATTATGTGATGCTACAGTTCTGGCCTACATGCTCACAACATTACACCTATTTACTATTGTCTGACTGCTGCCAAAAAGAGATGTTTACTGAAATATTATTTAAGCTGTAACATTTGCTTATTAGCTTGATTAATAAACCTATTGGGAATGCAATATTTCAAATTACAAATGTACATTTGCAATCCAGCCCATAAGACTGTGTATAAACAACAATGACATTCATTATGAGCAACATGCTGATATAAATCATATTAGCTACTTTAGTGTACATTTTATTGTTTTGTGGGTCTCCATTTGGAATAATAACATGCACAGTATTTTAAGCTGTAGATCAAACTATCAGTTAATGTCATCCTTAAAACAGGAGAGACAGACAGAAAGTTGATACATTATTTATCAGCAAACAACTTTATTGTGCATTCAGCAAAACAATCAATTGCCACCCACTGTATGGTAAGCAAAAAATGGGAATTAAATAGGTTTTTCAACACCACAAGGGAGGCAGCACTGCAATAAAGCACAACCCACAAAACAACTAATTTAGCCCAAGTTTTCTTTCCCTAAAAATACAGACTCGGCAATAATAATAAGGCGTCAGTTTACCACCACCTCACACCTGTTTTGCAAGGAGGATGGAGAAGCAATTAAGCTGTAAAAATAAAAATAACTGTGCCCTTACCTTCCCCCTCAAGCAGCGAGAGCTTTGAGCAAGTTTCCTAACACTTCTTTAAAAACCAAAAGTTCAACCTACTTTAAAGTGGCTCTATGACATTTTCCCCAAAAAACCGGATCCAAGAGAATTAACAAAGAAAAGAGAGAAAAGGTGGGTCTCTATTAAATAATGCTCCACTAAGATTCAGACCCCATACATATACAGTGGTACCTCGGGTTAAGTACTTAATTCGTTCCGGAGGTCCGTTCTTAACCTGAAACTGTTCTTAACCTGAAGCACCACTTTAGCTAATGGGGCCTCCTGCTGCTGCTGTGCCGCCGGAGCACGATTTCTGTTCTTATCCTGAAGCAAAGTTCTTAACCTGAAGCAGAGTCTCTTAACCTGGGTTAGCAGAGTCTGTAACCTGAAGCGGATGTAACCCAAGGTACCACTGTATATCCATTTTGTGAAGGTGTGAAAGGTACCAGGAGTGGGGTTGAACAGTGGTTAGGATGGTCTGTTTTTATGAGTGCTCCAACATGCATAGATACTGCAGGCAGCTCTACATAGCAGGCAAGCAAAGCTCACATGGGAAGGAACTGTCACTGGGTCTAATTATCTGGCCATGTTCTTGGAGTAGCATGTGATGGTATTGAAGGGAGGTGCTTCAATGAATGCACAGGTTCAACTTTGCATTTATTTATTTGATAAAGTTATATCCAGCTTCTCACCATGGAGGTCTCAAAGCGGCTTACAGCAATAAGATACAGTGGTACCTCAGGTTACAGACGCTTCAGGTTACAGACTCCTCTAACCCAGAAATAGTACCTCGGGTTAAGAACTTTACTTCAGAATGAGAACAGAAATCACGTGGCGGCGTGGCGGCAGTGAGAGACTCCATTAGCTAAAGTGGTACCTCAGGTTAAGAACAGTTTCAAGTTAAGAACGGACCTCCAGAACGAATTAAGTTCTTAACTTGAGGTACCACTGTATACGTTAGACAAAATATGCCTGGGGAGCTGATTCTTCCTTGCTGCCTGGGAAACCGGTACTCTTAATTACTCCCTTGTGGTGTTCTCCTCGTTGTGTACTCTTTATCCTCCCTCTGAACATCATTTACTTTAATTTACTCTCTTGCTTGATGTGTTTCCTTTATCGACTGTTTTAAGAATTTTGCAACTTTCAGCCTTGACAACCTGACTATTTTTTCCTGATCCTCTTTTGTTTGCTGTTTCTATGGCACCAATTATTGATGCTTCGGATTCTTCATTTAACTCTGTCTCAACATGTACATTTGATTTGTCTTTCTGCTCCCATTATTCTTCCCCAGGTCAGCCATAGATTACTTCTCAATTACGTTTTCCTTCATATATCACGGTCCTGTGCCGTTCGTCATGACTTCTCAATTTCTTATCTATACGCTTCACACCCCCCCTTAAATAAGCAATCTTATTTATCTTTCTCAGTTAATTCATTCTGTTGCTGCTGCTGCTTTGGCTAGTCACTTTTATTCCCTTGCTAATTCACTGCTTATTCCTCATTTTCTTTCCTGTCTATTTTTATCTCTTAGTTTTTGCACATGCCTTTGATAAAGCAGCACAAGTTCATTCACGAGTTCCTTCTGATCAGCTCTTCTTATTTGTCACAGCCTCGTGGCTGTTTTCATCCTTTTCTGCTCTTCTTCTCTTCTACTTGTTTGCTCAGTGTCATGTCATGCCTTCATGTTTTCTAAGCAGATTGCTCACTATCTATTACTCCCTTTAATATAATTTAAATCTCTCTGTTATGGCTTCTAGCCTCATAGATGACTTCACTGGGTTTGTCTAATTGCCACCTGGTTTCTCTCCTTTGTTTCCAAGCAATGTGTATGCAGTGTTTTCTCTCTCAAAGTCCTGATTATCACTACACTTTTGCTGTTGTTGTTTAGTTGTTTAGTCGTGTCCGACTCTTCGTGACCCCATGGACCAGAGCACGCCAGGCACTCCTGTCTTCCACTGCCTCCCGCAGTTTGGTCAAACTGATGCTGGTAGCTTCAAGAACACTGTCCAACCATCTCGTCCTCTGTCGTCCCCTTCTCCTTGTGCCCTCCATCTTTCCCAACATCAGGGTCTTTTCCAGGGAGTCTTCTCTTCTCATGAGGTGGCCAAAGTACTGGAGCCTCAGCTTCAGGATCTGTCCTTCCAGTGAGCACTCAGGGCTGATTTCCTTAAGAATGGCTAGGTTTGATCTTCATGCAGTCTGTGGGACTCTCAAGAGTCTCCTCCAGCACCATAATTCAAAAGCATCAATTCTTCGACGATCAGCCTTCTTTATGGTCCAGCTCTCACTTCCATACATCACTACACTAGGTCCTTTTTAATGTAGTTTTCATTCATTTAGTTTGATAAACTGCCTCATCTTCACATTTCTTTTTTACTTACAATGTATAATTTTTCTGTTCTTTGTTATCCTTCAGTATTTGAGGCTGCTTTCTTTTTGTCTGGCTAATCCTGTTCTATTCTTTAATGGTTTTCTTATCTGTCAATCATGAGTCGGTGTGAGTGCTGTTTTTCACCCTTGTCCCTTTACTTTTGGGTGTCCTTCATGGTTCAGGTTCGCTGTCTCAGTTCCTGCATCCATTCCCCTAGCACTGATTATCATATTTAGGTAGGTTCAATTCAGCTGAATTTCCCTGCTCCAGATCTCCATCACCATATAAGAGTTTTCTCCCTTTTTGCTGCCTATTTCTTCTGGGATTTGGATACAGTTCCTTAAACTATCTAAAAATAAGTTTATTTGGTTTCCCCATGTTGGTTCTTGATTTATCTGTTGCTGGTATCACTCCAATATCTCCTTCTCTCTGGAATCAAGGTCATATTGTGTGGTTCTTCTCCTTTCTAGTACAGTGGTGCCTCGCAAGACGAAATTAATCTGTTCCGCGAGTCTCTTCGTCTTGCGGTTTTTTCGTCTTGCGAAGCACGGCTATTAGCGGCTTAGCGGCTATTAGCGGCTTAGCGGCTATTAGCGGCTTAGCGGCTTTAAGAAAAAGGAAACGAACCCGCAAGAACTCACAAGACGTTTTGTCTTGCGAAGCAAGCCCATAGGGAAATTCGTCTTGCGGAACGACTCAAAAAACGGAAAACCCTTTCGTCTAGCGAGTTTTTCGTCTTGCGAGACATTCGTCTTGCGGGGCACCACTGTAATATTTCTCCTAAAATATCACTGCCAACATCTTACTTCTTTCAGGAAACTAATATCACCCTTCCACCTGTTGACACAGCTCATGCTTTAATTTTATCTTGTTTGGATTACTGTAATGATTTGTTTACCTATGTCTCATCATAGGCCTTTTATTTCATTCATTCATCTGCTCTAATTATTTTCTTTGCCTGGAAGCATTATTGTGTTACTGCATTTATTCCCTTGGCATTCATTACCCTATTTCTTTTTCCGGATTCAGTATACTTTACACCTTTACTTTCATTTTACTATTATTCAAGTTATTTGGAAATAAGACAGTATATAAGTCCATGGTGAACCTTAGCGCCCCACCCCCAGCCTGATTAGGCCTGCCAAGACTTGGTGGGTGGTCCACCAGGCCATCTCAGACAAACCATGCCAACCTTTCCCATCATGTATGATGCCAGGAACAAGAAAGTTCAAGCATCAAAAAGTTGGTACTTTTTGAATTTAGCTCCTTTTTTCTGTGGCCCTGCACAGTGACATTACAAGGTGTGAGATTCAAAAAGTGCCAAACCTTTTAATGCAAAGGAAGAATCAGGAACACTCTTAAGGTCACCTCCATGCCATGCATCTGCTACCAGGTTCAAAGTGTTGGTGCTAACATACGTGTCAGGACCAGGTTATCTGAGAGACCACTTTACCCCTTATGCACCAAGCAGATCCCTGTGGTCTGTGGGAGAGTTTCTCCTGTAAGTTCCAAAGATCCAGAGGCCTGCTCTGCAATAAGTTGGAGCAGGGATTTCAGTGATCTATAGAATAGCATTCCTGTTGAGATATGAACAGGTACCCATTATCTGCATTTTCCAGCAACAAATAAATACATTTTGATTCTGGCAGGCTTTCTCAGCAGGATATATGGGTCTTTGCTCAGAGATTTAGTTTTGTCTTAAATGTATCTGAATTTTTGGGCATTATTGTACAGCCCCTTCATAATAAATTGATGGTGATGATACATTTTAAGCACATATGTTCCACTTTCATAGTCATGACTTCCCCCAAAGAATCCTGAGAACTGTAGTTTTACCCCTCACAGAGCTACAACTCCCAGCACCCTTAACCAACTACAGTTCCCAGAATTCTTAGGAAGAAGCCACGTGTTTTAAATGTATGTTGTGGATGTGACCTTAGTATACTTCCAATTCTTTATTTGTAGACACAGCTTGAATTCAAGTCTTATCAGCACAGGAAAAATGTTTATTTGTAGCATGGGGGGAGAGTAAGTTAAGTTAAAAAAGTAAAGGGTAAAGGGACCCCTGACCATTAGGTCCAGTCATGACCGACTCTGGGGTTGCGGCGCTCATCTCGCTTTACTGGCCGAGGAAGCCGGCGTACAGCGTCCGGGTCATGTGACCAGCATGACTAAACCGCTTCTGGCGAACCAGAGCAGTGCACGGAAACGCCATTTACCTTCCCGCCAGAGCGGTACCTATTTATCTACTTGCACTTTGTGCTTTCGAACTGCTAGGTTGGCAGGAGCTGGGACCGAACAACGGGAGCTCACCCCGTCGCGGGGATTTGAACCGCCGACCTTCTGATCGGCAAGTCCTAGGCTCTGTGGTTTAACCCACAGTGCCACCTGCGTCCCTTAACTTAAGTTACTTGGCATCAAAGTGACATGAGGTGACCAACAGGTAGGTTTTGGCCCCATTCCCTGTCACAGTGGCCTGCAGACAGTGAGGGAGCTCAGAATCCAGTCCCTGGCATCAGGGCTTTCCGGAAGTTATGAAGTTGCCAATGTGGGCGACAAATCACTCAGATAAGTTTCAAAAGAACACACCTTTGTGCTGGATAACACAAGACCTTTTGTACTTTGTTAGTCAGATTTTTAAAATGTATGCCACTGTTCTTCTCACTGTTAAAATGCCTAGGGGCAAGAACAGGAAGGACACAAAAGTGACTTTGTACACATTACCTTAATACCATTCATAAGAAGCAGCAACGCCGAAACATCCTCCACTGGTGATCTAAATCTTAGCTGGAGTTTTAACATGCATTTTTAAAGCATTTTTACAGACCACTTTGCATTTACCTCCTCAATTGCGCCTGCTGAAATCCTATGACCTGCAACGTTGATCACGTCATCCACTCGAGACATCACATACAAATAGCCCTCTTCATCCATATAACCCGCATCCATAGTATTATAGTATCCCTGGGAGCAAAAGCAGGAGGAGAAAGGAAAAAACATATATATCAGAATATTTGAGATCAGTAATACTTTAAAAAATGTTTATTGCTCATTTTATTGATGTTCCTTAAATACAAAAACATCAACAAAAATTACCAAAGATCTAGACCACTTTTGCCACCATTCCCATCCTTAGCATTACTCCAAAATAATCCTAGGTTCCTGTCCAGTCTTTATAGGCCACACCTCGTATAGCAGCTTTTCCGCAAAACAGCAGCTACTAATCTTGATGGTGATGTTACCTCTATTACTGGAGATAAGCCTCTGAAATGCACTCATGCCACTCTTATGGGCTTGTGTAGGCATTGGGTTGGCCACTGTGGGTATAGAAGGCCAGACTAGAAGGGCCTTGGACTGACCTCTTACGTTCTTAACAGTATCGTGTAGAGCTGCTTAGCACACGCCTTGTTTGCCTCATGTGCAATCTCCATAGAATCACAGAATTGTAGAGATGGAAGGGACCACTGGGGTCATTCCTTCAATTCTGGAATCTTTTTGTGCAGTGTGGGGCTTGAACCCACGACCTTCAAAGTTAAGAGTCATTGCTCTACCAACTGAGCTATCTCACCACGCCAGCATTGCACATCCCATAAGAAGCCGACTGGCCTTTAGTAAGGACGTGTGGAAGAGTAATATAAGAATATGCAAACATGGGCATGAATGGGATTCTTACACTACAGTGCGCAGCATTTATGGAGAAGGGGAGTGAAAGTACCGGTATTTCTTGAGCATTACAAAATATATCTATTCTATTACATAGGGTAAGCAACACGCTGACCTCCAGTTACCGTATTTTTCGCCCTATAGGACACACTTTTTCCCCTCCAAAAATGAAGGGGAAATGTGTGTGCGCCCTATGGGGCGAATGCAGGCCTTCCCGGGCTTCCTGCAGCTCTGCGCCACCCTCCGGATCCCGGCGCGAAGCCGCGCGGGGCTCCAGAGGGTAGCGCAGAGCTGCCTGCGCTCCAGGGCTTCCTGCAGCTCTGCGCCACCCTCCCAATCCCAGCGCGGGGCTCCGGAGGGTGGCGCAGAGCTGCCTGCGCTCAAGGGCTTCCTGCAGCTCTGCGCCACCCTCCCGATCCCGGCGCAAAGCCGCGTGGGGCTCCGGAGGGTGGCGCAGAGCTGCCTGCACTCCAGGGCTTCCTGCAGCTCTGCGCCACCCTCCCGATCCCGGCGCGAAGCCGCGCGGGGCTCCGGAGGGTGGCGCAGAGCTGCCTGTGCTCCAGGGCTTCCTGCAGCTGTGCGCCCGATCCTGGCGCGAAGCCACGCGGGGCTCCGGAGGGTGGCGCAGAGCTGCCTGCATTCCGAAGCCTGGGGCGCGCTGAAGAGCCTGGGGCGCGGCTCCCTAGGCTTGCGGATAGCAGGCTGTTCTGGGGGCTGGGGTCGGGGGAAGCTCGGGCTTCCCCGCGCCTGCCCCGTGCCTGGGGGGGAAATAATTTTTTTTCTTTATTCCCCCCCCAAAAAAAAAAAAAATTAGGTGCGTCCTATGGGCGAAAAATACAGTACTTTGAGAAGCCATCAACCCCCAGCCAGCATGGTCAATCAGAGAGGGAAACAGCATTCCAAAATATGGCATCGTTTCATGCTAGAGAGCCAAGATAGCTTACTACATATTTAGTTCATTTTTAACTCCTCTTACTGGAAATTTCTGGAAGTATATTTCCTTGTACAGATCCTCATTTTTCCAAAGGCCCAGAAAGGCTCCTGGAGGCAAAGGCAGCCTGTTATTTAAATAAAAAAGCAAACACAAAAACACAAAATTAAATTGGAACAAGACGATCAAAGAGAACAGATCGTTTTTACAAGATTATTACACAATGGCAATTAAAGGTGTTTTTAAAAAATAACAAAAAACAACAGTCATCTCCTGAAATGTGTTGGAAGGGTAGAAGCCAAAAGCAACTAACTTTACAAGTCTAGTGGAGCTGGTCAAGGATTGAAACATTCTGATCAAGAATATGAAATATTTATGTCACACATGTAGCTAATAATCAGTTCCAATCCAAATGTTTATTTTTTTGCTGCTCAAGTCAGCACAATACTTTGGGGAGATACAGGGGTTTACTTTGTTCCTTCCCTTAATAGTAAAACAGAGATGGAGATGAAACCTATTTTTAACAAATCCATTGCACAAATTATGGTAGCTTCTTGTACTATAAAGACATTATCCTATCATAAGACACAATGCCCACCCCCTGTTACAAATCCTGAATATTTCCACCTAATCAGCTAATCAGGCACTTATAAATCTCCCAATTCTATCACCTGTTTTTTTTGTACTGAATCCTCAATTTTAATCTGTGTAAAAACACCCATCACACCAGTGTTTATCCTAAACTGGAAGCATAGCATTGTGGTGGTGGGGGGGGGGGGAGAGAACTATGATTAAGCATATTTAAAATCAATTCACAATATTATGCATTGGTTTACATTTTAAAAATAGTTAATTTCTGTTGTCATTTTAAATTGCAAGTTTACATTGTTAACTAAAGGAAAACAGATGTTAAAATATTACAAATACAGTGCTCACAAAGTCTGCCACCATGGAAAAATATGACTACACCTGCACTAGATGTGAACTACATGTGACCAAAACAAGCAGATTGCTTAAAACCTGTGGGTCTCTGCATGCAGGTAATAAGCCAATTGACAAGAACAAAGATGAGCCAGACCCACTAAGCAATATGTGCATGGTCAACTGTCTGTGCCTCTGCATGTTTCTCAATATGTCCCAGGAGCCAGGGGCATACATAAGCAACAAGATTTCCCAGAAACTGCTTAGTGCTATGGGTATGTATGAGAGAGGAGCCTCTCAATCCCCCATTGGCTGTATCCTGGGAAGAGTCCCTAGGTCTGGCAAGAGAGGTCTGGAGGCCTGCAATTCAGGCTCTGGGTCTGAGATGCCCCATCCCTACCATAAAGAGCTGGTGGCAGTGACTTCCCTTCTCAGGTACAGCCCAGGAGAATTGTGTTTAGTTAAACTTGCAAATCCTGGCGCAAAAAGAGAGTGGCCAAGCTCCCTTAGCCGAGTACAGTGGTACCTTGGGTTACAGACGCTTCAGGTTACAGACTCCACTAACCCGTAAATAGTACCTTGGGTTAAGAACTTTGCTTCAGGATGAGAACAGAAATCAGGTTAAGAACAGTTTCAGGTTAAGAATGGACCTCCAGAACGAATTAAGTCCTTAACCCGAGGTACCACTGTAGTTAAGTGACAAAACTTCAGAGGCACACTTTTTGTGGTAGAGGGCATGAGAAAGATTCCCATTTATCTCAGCAAAAAAGTGAGGGAGGGGAAGGCTCCCCTTGAATTCACTTTTCTGTTAGACACTGTTATAAATCAATGGCTTGCAAACGGCGTCAACTGATGTTTTCCAGATAACCCATCAATATTCTTCAAACTTCCTTTAACAATAGCAGCCATTTTTTTTATGACCTTAGAATTTGTTGTGGAAAAATACAAGGAGATGTCCCCCTAAAAGGGAGTATTCCTCTTGGGAGTATGTTATACTCTGCCTAAAATGTAATTCACCGCCACAAAATAGAGACATAGCTAATGATAAAAAGCAGAGGGGAGAATAACACTCCCAAGACAACGCAAACTTCAAATCACGAAGGGCACCCAGAGTGAAGTTGGCCTACACTTCCTTAGCCCCCTACACTGTGGTCCTGGGCACTTTAGGCTTCCTTTTCAAACAACCCTCTTCTCTTCAACAGTTCACAGTCCCTCCTGACAGCTTACATGTTCACATGACAGCTTATTCCATTTCACCCACATTCCCATTTCTGGCTCCCTTGTCCCCTTAGCATCTCTGTCTCTTCCCATTCAGCATCAGTCCTCATCCCCCCCCCCCACTGCCTATTCCTTTCCTAGGGATAGGGAATGTGTGAGGCTTGATCTCAACTCGGGTGACTTTTACACTCTTTTGCAGGAGACTGTTACAGATAGGTAGCCGTGTTGGTCTGCCATAGTCAAAACAAAAAGAATTCCTTCCAGTAGCACCTTAAAGACCAACTAACTTAGTTGGTCTTTAAGGTGCTACTGGAAGGAATTTTTTTTGTTTTGATCGCAGGAGACTGTTAGCACTCTGCAAATAGCTTTCATCGCTGACAAGTTAGAACGCTTGTGAAAAGCTCTATGATATCATAACTGTTTCAGGCATCTACAGCCACAGGTTCCGTCATCACAAAACCCCTTAGCTCACTACTTTACCATTATCCACAACCTTTGTTTGGTGTTCCAGGGGCAGTGGGGAGAAGACTGCTTCCAAAGGTGGTTAAATGTTTCAAGTGCTTTGTACAATACTGAAGGATAAGAGCAGGGGTCAGCAAACTTTTTCAGCAGGGGGCCAGTCCACTGTCCCTCAGACCTTGTGGGGGGCCGGACTGTATTTTTTTTGGGGGGGATGAACGAATTCCTATGTCCCACAAATAACCCAGAGATGCATTTTAAATAAAAGCACACATTCTACTCATGTAAAAACACCAGGCAGGCCCCACAAATAACTCAGAGATGCATTTTAAATACAGTGGTGCCTCGCAAGACGAAAATAATCCATTCCGCGAGTCTCTTCGTCTAGCGTTTTGTTTGTCTTGCGAAGCAACCCTATTAGCGGATTAGCGGATTAGCGCTATTAGCGGTTTAGCGGCTAAAAGGCTATTAGCGGCTTAGCGGCTTAGAAAAAGGGGGGGAGCGAAAAAAATTGCAAGACTCGCAAGACATTTTCGTCTTGCGAAGCAAGCCCATAGGGAAATTCATCTTGCGAAGCAACTCAAAAACGGAAAACCCTTTCGTCTAGCGGGTTTTTCGTCTTGCGAGGCATTCGTCTTGCGGGGCACCACTGTAAAAGGACACATTCTACTCATGTAAAAGCACACTGGTTCCTGGACCATCCGCGGGCCAAATTTAGAAGGCGATTGGGCCGAATCTGGCCCCTAAGCCTTAGTTTGCCTACCCATGGATAAGAGGTACCTTGGCTGCACTGAACCTTGGGTTCTAATTCCTGTTGAAGCAGGCTCAATGGTCAGTTCCAACAGAGTTGAGAATAAAATGTTGCCTAACTTCTAATCTCATGTCAAGATGCATCTGTATCAAATGAAACCTTCAGGAAACAGAAGTTACCTTGTATGCATTCAGGGTACCAACAGGACAGTAATTCATAACCGGTAACATAGTTGCACCGTTGATTTATTTAACTGTCTAAAAAGTCCTTGTGACAGAGAGGAAGGACAATTCTCATTGACAGAGCCATTAACGATTCCCCTGGGGCTTTTTTGTTTGGTTTTATCCTGCTCCTTTCAGCTTAGCCATTAAGTAAGAGAGCCCATCACCTCTCGGCACACACGGACTTTCACCCGTATGAATTCCAAAAATAATAATTTTAAAAAGCTGACGTGCAATACAGCAGAAATAAAAAAGGTGTTAAATTAATTCCATCTGGTGATTTGCAACAGGGTCACATCAAGTGTTAACAAGAATAGATATGCATACATAACTGAAAATGCAAAAGTTTGTAAGGACATTTTGTATTTAGCACACCGCTTGTGCTAAAACTTAGCAATAGTTAAGTCTTAGAAGAATGTGTCATTACACACATCCCACAAACCCTGATTTTTTTCCTCCATCCATATTTACAAAGTGCTTCTTGAGGTTTCTCAAAGTCAAAATTCCTGCGGCACTATAGACACTAATTGGTTTGTTTAGTGTGACATGAATGTTAGCTTGTAGCAGGAATGAGACAGTATGTGCAGAAAGTGTGGTGCCTGCTATGCTGCAAAGAAGGCAACATGACACTTTAAGATTAAGACCTTTCCTGAAAGCATCAGAAAATCAACTGCCTGAAAGGCCAAGCTTACACTCAGCATTTATTAGTATAAAAGAAAAGAAAAAACCCACAAAAACCTAGAGATTAATTCCAAAGTTAGCCCAGCCTTTTAAAGCTTTGGATAGTAGTTTTACATTCTAACACAAACTATACTGAAGTTGCACCCTGTCTGTCAACATGGAGAATTATGGAAGAGCATTATTCCTTAGAACTATTAAACCAGTGTGCTCCTCTAACTACTGACACTCTGAACATGCAAGTTTTCCAAAAAAAAATAAAAAAATAGGTCTTTTGTGTAACTGCAAAACAAAGAAACCGTCTCAGGATAACTTTATTGGAATTAGCCTCCCGTTGAAACACTAGGGTGTGATTACATTTTTTAAAAAAAGGATCATACCAAACTGGGGGGCTTTTTTGGGTGGGGGGTACCTTAGAGTTGTCTAATATTTAAGTCACTTTGTTAAGCACACTGTGTAGGCCTTAATGATAACAAAAAATGAACGCATACAAACATTGCCAGCTATGTTTGACAAGCAACTGAAAAGGTGCAAAAATGTTTTGCATGCACACTTAAACACACAGAGACTTGCCTTTACATTCCACCTTCTCCTGTGGGGAAAACCAACAAGTATTCAAGTTATATATATATTTAAACTTTGATGTGGGAGCAAGCACCTTCCCCTTCGCTGCAAAGTACAGTGCTGTGATGAATTTACTCATCAACAGTAAGAGCCTAGTGCCCATATTTGCATAAAACAATAAACCAGAATGGCTTATTGCGGGTTATTAGGAATGAGCATGTTGCTTTGCTGCTCTACTGGCATAAGCGAGATAGCCAACTAGGAAACCTTGGCTTCCCATTACATCTAAGCCATGGGTTATGGGTTTCTGAATCCCTAACAAGGCATTACTGGTACCAATTTGAAGCTTCGGTTTATTGCTGGTTTGTTTATCCTGTTTGCACTAGGGGATGAGTGAAGTTGGAGAAACTGGGCAGTGAGCACCAGCATGCAGTTCATTCTGTCTGGAAGTCTGGCTTAACATTAAGTGCAAATGCAAGCACTGTGTTTCGATAACAGCCACAGGTGCTTCCATTTGCATGTTACATGACTGCCACTTGTGTTGAAAAAGATAAGATGTAAAGCAGCCACAGATGTTGCATTTGTGATCCAACATTGTCCAGACAACTCCTATAAAAGCAGTAATGCCTCCGAGCATTAGTTAAACATGTGCTTTGCTGTCAATTAGCAACAGAAATGCAGAAAATAGGAAAAGCTGAAGCTAAAACAGTGATAATCAGCTGAGCAAAAGGATAGTCACCTCAAGTATTACCAGCAAATCAGGCAAAAAATGCAAATAGCACGTACCATGGTAGCAGAAGCTTAGTGAGCTCCTAAGGAGAAGCAGTGGAAACTGAAAAACAGGTAGGAAAGCAGAAAAGGAGATGAGAAACCCAGCTCACATTGTATAAAGATCGTATGCAAGGTATTATTCTTTCATGAACCTACCAGGTTGGAGATCCAAAATAATAGAATCATAGGCTAATATGAAAGAACCACAACAGAAAAATAATGGGTTGGTTCCTACATAAATTCTGTCTCCATTCAGAGTGTGCATTATGAAAGTAATTGGAGGACATGAGGAAAAACAATGTCAGAATTGGTAGTCTAGGTGAATTTTTCACTCATAAGAAAATTTTGTTCCTTCTCACCAGATTGTGTGGGGGGGATTTGACACTCTCAATGAGAGAACATGCCAGAGTCCCTGAAGCACAGACAGAATAATACTGTGCAATAAGCCTGAGTTAAATGAGACTTACTCCCAAGTAAATGTGTGTGGGACTATAGGAGTCTATTCATTTATTCATTTCTAGACTGCCCTTCATCCCAATGGTTTCTGGGGCAATAAATAAAACAGTTCACACCAGCAAATACAGTAAAAATCAACATTCATAATGAATTAAAGGCAATGAGAAGCAGCAATAGAATTGTAAAATTATAGTGCAGAAGAAGCATAGCCATTTAAAAGGCCTGGGGAAGTTAAATGTTTCGACATGACACCAGAAGTTGAAAGGAGCAACAGAGCCTTGTTCCAATGCCATGCTGCTTCCATCCCACCCGGTCCTGACATTCATGCTTTAAGCATAAGTGTCTGAGCAGAGGAAGCCTATGCATGCAAGCCTCCACATGCCTAGGTTTCCAAAGAACCCTGTGTTAACTAGGCTCCTTGGAGGTCTATGAGCATAGGTGCCCCTTGCTCAACATCTGAAACTGCAGGCAGGGTCAAGGAAGCCATGCAACATCAGAGTAGTTAGCGCCACTGGTGCAGCCAAGTTTGCAGTTAAGCGTGATCATTGCATGAAGGGGGCTTAACAAGTGGGACTTCATAAAGACAGCAACCTGCCAGATTCCCAGGTCAGTACTGGAGAAGACAACGAAGAGCGCAGGCTGTGCCCCAGAAATACACCGAGGACCTCCTGTGGATTACATTCTCTCTAGGAAGCCAACCAGCCATAACAATGACAAAGATGGTACATTTCTCAGAAGCAGAGAGGAAGGAACCAGAGTAGCTCGAGGTACACCCTAATTCTGGACTCAGAAGCAATGAAACACCACACCCAACACTCACAATTTGAACTAGCTGGAATTGGCCTTTACAAAACCAGTTCTCCCTCTCTGCAATGGCATCTTTCAAAGCCTGGACCTTTTCTTTCAATTCCAATTAAGCTCCCACATGGAATGAGGACTGGCTTTCAAGTATTCTCCAATGGTACTGTTACAGAAGCTGAAACAGATCAATGAAGCAGCAAGCAGCCTCTGCAAAGAGCCCCTAATTGAGCAAAAGAGAGGGAAGTTCGTATGTCAAAATAAATTTGTTTTAACTCTAGAGTGGTAGAAGATGTTACTGGCTAAAGGGGTAATATTTGTGGTCAGTATCAGTAAGTATATTCATTCAATATTCAATTATATCACAGTGTTTTGGCTCACTCCTTCTGTCTACTTTACACCATTAATCCCTTGAAAGGTTGTGGGCTGCTTACTTCACCACAATATTTCCTAAAGTCTTCGCTTTTACAGCTTGCTTGTCATCATCCAGAATCATCACTGCAAGAAAAAAAGACAAAAGGATTCACAAAAATATATTTTTTTCCTCCCCTCCCCTCTTAACTAGTGTTCAAGACAGAGGAAAGCTTCGAGCTTAATTGCTATGGAAAACACAACTTGAGGAAAGCAATTACAAAACATTTGCAGTGCCCAATTAGGCTATCTTGGGGCTCTTGTTTTTGCAGATCAGACTGAAAAATTAGTTTTAATTTACAGATTCAACTCAGAGGAAGGCTGGACAAAGCTGGAATGTAAATTACCTTTATCAGAGGGCAAGAGATACCTTATTTTTAGAGTGGTTTAAGATGCAAGGCACAACAACAAGCACAGACAACTACACAGGAGCTGATGCAGTTTAAAGAGCACTTGGAGGTTCTAGATGGCAATTTACAAAAAGTGGCAGTTTTCACCTAATTTCATCTGTCTTTAAAGGTCAAATAGAGCCCAGAGGGTATGTATTTACAGCCCCTGCACTTCCTGCCTCAGCCCAACAACAGTCACTCCCCCCACTTTTCACTTCATTCCTATCTGCTGTAGAGCAAAACCTTATTTATTAGTTTGGATGTAATGGGAAACTGTGGTTTAAAGTTAACTAGAAGCGCTGAACCCAGTGTGTGAGTGGAAAAGGAGTGTACATGCCCCACATTCATTCTTGACTTAATGCACCAAGTCTGATCTTGTCTCCACCTCATAATTATTAGTTCTTCTGCCAATAAAGGGCAAGAAAACATTGCACTTTTTCAACCTTCATCTATCCTGCCCCATTTCTTTGTTTTACAAAACCAGTCAACTCTTTCCTTTCCAATTAACTGAGCAATTCTCAGGCAAGTGAAACTGATCTTAAAGTTATCTCAGCCTGCAACCCTGTAATACTTACCTGGTAGTAAGTCCCAGTGAACTTAATGGGACTTATGTCTGAGTAAATATGAATAGGAGTACACTATCAATTACATGTGAAGAACAGGTTAATCCCTAGATAATTTTGGTCAAACCATAATTCTAGTTATGAAAATATTGCAGCTTTCCTAATCTTACGGTTGCACATGTTCTGTTCAGTTGTTTTCCTGGCTAGAGGCAGCTACTGCTTTTCATGCTTTATACGGATTCAAAGCATACATTTCCTACAGCAATCTTTTTTTTTTAATGCTGAACATTAAAGATAATGTGCTTAGCATTCCTTTCAAATATCAGCCTCTGCAGAAGGCTGCCTTCCTGGTATAAGTGGAAAGCAGGTAACTTTAAATTAAAAAACAGCTAGACACTTGCGGAGCTCAATGGGCATTTGCTTTCACTAAAAAAAAAACGTTTCTGGGGATCACTGACTAGACTAGCTAGCAACATCTTTACACACTATAAAACACACAAGTGCTATTTAATGTACAGAGATCAAAAACCAATATCTGAAATGGGCACATCTGTTCACTGCTCATATTCTCAAGCAGGGCATTACAGAGTACATGGCAGTTTTGATGAGGACAATTGCCCTCTGGTGTCATGGCCTCCTGTGTATGTTTCTGCTGGCACTCCTGACGCATGTACAAAGAACAATATCCAATTTCACACAAGGCAGCTTCCATTTCTCCTCCCCTTGTACTCTCTGCTCTGGGGGGTCCCCCTAGCCAAGGAGGAAGGCTGCAGGAAGGTGTGGGAATGGTCTATCACCCAGAGTTCCCACAATCACAAAGTAGCCAGTACAACATCAGAAACAGCTCTGGACACATATTCCTATATTATTATTATTATTATTATTATTATTATTATTATTATTATTATACCACGCCTTCCCTGGTGGAACTCAAGGCAGCTCAACTAAAAACGTAGAAAAAGATATTAAAATACAATTAAGCATTGATAAAAATAGAATTAAAACTACCAGTATATACATATATAAAATCAGTTTAAAATCACCAATAATTACACAATAGAAACAGCACAGCGGCAGCCCTTTAATTAAAAGCAGTCAATTATATGCAGAGGCTGCCCTAGCTTTGCCATAAATAACAAAATCTACGCTCATCAAGAAGCATTTCCACATACAAAGGTGTCTGTGAACTTTTGGGCTAGGCTGATAAAACAGTCGCTTTTCCAGTTTCACAAGCAGACCCAACTTGCGCAGGAGGTGGGGTCATGTACAAGGTAAGATTTGTGTTTGCAGAAGTGGCCTCAGGCTTCTGGATTCATCTCCTCCCTCAATTCAGCCCATAAGTGACTTCCTTGGGCTTCTGTGCCTATAGAACTACTGACCCACATGTGGCGGCCCATATAGACTGGTTCATTCAAGGTGACTTCCAAGCAGAAAATGGAAGCAACACCCATCCATGCTACAGTCTGTTATGCCTGCTAGCAATGATGAATATAGGTTATTGCTGCATTAGGGAATTATTGAGGCGTGGTGTAATTCCAAAACTGGACAGCAGCAGGTTGAGAACAGGGGGTGGGGAAATGTTTTGATGAGGACTTGTCTGAAGTGTCTTCTGACAAATGGAGATGTTGCTACACAAAAAAAAATTAAAGTGGCCAAGGAAGCCAGATCAATAATGGGTTTGGTCCTCAGCTGTTAAATACAGCAGCATTTCAGCTTTAAATATCGTCTTGGTGTTGCACCTTGTGAGGAATCATGTGCTTCTTAGAGCTGGTAAGCCAATACTGTATCATAATGTTATTGGTTGTTGTTGTTGTTGTTGTTGTTGTTGTTTTGTTGTTGTTCCACCCATCTGACTGGGTTGCCCCAGTCACTCTGGGTGGCTTCCAACAAATGAAAACACAGTAAAATATCAAACATTAAAAACTTCCCTATACAGGGCAGCCTTCAGATGTCTTCTACAAGTCAGATGGTTGATTATTTCCTTGACATTTGATGGGAGGGCATTCTACAGGAATAATAATAATACTGTAATAACTTTACCATTGTATCCAGGCACCAGTTTTCCTGTCTGTCCTGAGGGAGGAGTTAGCGAGTTTCCTAAGCCAACACAAGAAGCTGTTATTGGAGATCCTGTTTCTGTAAAACAAGAAGCAGAACCAAGCATTTTTAAGACCCACATTATAAGAAAATGTCCTTATATGCAAGGTAATGATAGTTGCCATTATTACAAACAAAATGAGCTCAAACAGAATATATCACATAGTGGATAGCTAGCCCCCATTTTAGCATTGAGCAGATACCAAAATCTATCTAATCAACAATGTGAGGTTGAATAGAAATTGAGTTGCTTTTGTCCATTGAGCTTAGATGCATAGAAAACAGCATGTGTGATATATTACTATAAGCAGCCCTCAGATGGCAAGTCAACTTTAAGGATTCTCACGAAACTGGCGCTATTGCCCTAAAGGATCTCAAGGAGACTCATCTGGCCAGTCCTGTGAAATTACATCTCAAGCAGACATCAGTTCAGGAAAGCACATGAATCATGCTACCAATTTCACTTGGCTTCAAAAAGACAACTAAAGAGCAAGCAATGGATCACTGACATGCCCGTCTGCTTTGGTGGTAATGCCAGAATTATTAATAGCTTAAGTGACTCCTGTTAAGATCAGTTTCTCAGGGCTCCTGCAACAAGGAGTTCTTGGTGGTGCAGGGCAGGGGAGAAAATATTATGCAAGGATTTAAATTAAACCTCTAAAGCTACTAGGGAATTGAAATTGCTACCTGGAGCAAAGTTTGAATGACAGGTTTTATGAAGTGCAAACTGAACACTGATAAGTATCTGTGACACTCTCATGACTAGTTATAGGTAGGTAGCCGTGTTGGTCTGCTGTAGTCGAAACAAAATAAAAAAAATTCTTCCAGTAGCACCTTAGAGACCAACTAAGTTTGTTATTGGTATGAGCTTTCGTGTGCATGCACAATTATTATTTTTCGTGTGCATGCATGGAATTTTTTAATTTTGTTTTGACTCTCATGACTAGTTTCCAAAGGGTGTCAAATTGTTAATAAGTTGGGGTTTTGGAAATTGGTTACTTTGCCATTTGTATATCGATCTAAATGCTTATTTGTTTGGGGTTTTTGTCCTTTCCCAGATGTATATTCACTGCAGCTACTAGTCAGAATTGGCTGGCAACAATGCAGCAAAATTTAGGGGAGAGGTCTTTACCTCCTCTTGGAAGGTAGTAAGTTCCTCCATTATCGCATAGCATCATTTGGAAAATTAAAGAAGTTCAGAATTTTCGCCCAACTGTACCCATTTACTTGCAAACTTCCAGTTATTAGGCCATACCCACTGCCCATTCTTGAAGATGCCTCTGTGTTCATGCCTCAACACACCACAGGAAGAAGTAAAGAACCTTGAATATGAACCAATGACAAATTGGAAATTCAAAAAACCAAATCCTTCCTTTAGGCAATCTACACCAGAGGCCAGTTCAGAAGGCAGCTGTGCTGCATGAAAAGCTGCCCAAGGGGTCAGAATCACAAACAAGAGAGATAAGAGCAGCAGAAGCTGCTAATGCCACAGCTTGAAGAGTCTTAAGTGGGAAAGGGCAGAAGACGTAAGGCCAGGGACAAGGCCTTAAAAAGGCACTTGAAAATGATCAAAGAAGGATGAATGAATGGCAAGGAGAAATGGAAAGGAGGAGAGAGAGAAGGCAGTAGTAAGAAGAGATGAAAAGGAAGTGAAACCCAAAGAGGAGGGGAATGGAACATAGACAAGAATAAAGAAACAGGAAGGTGGGAGGAAGGCAAAAGAAGGTGACATGGAGCTTCAATGAGAGAGTTAAGGAACAAGAAGAATGATGAAAACAGAAAACTGCAGCATACACTAAAGTTCTGTGATACAACCCATAAGGTTTCAAGAAATTGGTAGGAGCCAAGGGAAAGATCACACTTGTCTCAATGTGATCTGAGCAACAGAAGTTTCCAGCGGGACTCCTTTAAGCCTTTAGGCCAGGCATCCCCAGACTCTGCCCTCCAGCTGTTTTTGGACTACAATTCCCATCATCCCTGACCACTGGCCCTGTTACCTAGGGATGATGGGAATTGTAGTCCCAAAACAGCTGGAGTTTGGGGATGCCTGATTTAGGCAAACATATGGCAGTCAAGCATACTTTTGTAATGCATATATAAAAAGGTTACATTGAGTGACTAAATTTACCAATTCACATAGCTGAACCTTCTGGTTTATAAAGCAACTCCTAAAATTGCTGTAGTTCTACCCATCACAACTAACATGATGTTGATGGTTAGTCTCTTCCTTTGCTTTGGAGACAGTGGCAGCTCTTTTGCTTTAATCTCCTTGTTCCAGGTTAGGAAAGCTGTGCCCAACATTAATATAGTTTACATGTACATTAAGACAGTACATGTAAATAGGTCTCAGCAATCATCAGTTTCACTCCAATTTCAGGGAAGTAAAAAATAGCACCTTTTGACCTAATGGACATTGTTACTGCCTCAAGCTCCTCTAGTCTTAAAGCGACTTGTTTAATTACTTAGGGTGCATTTAGTCATTTATATATAGATTCCTTATTCTAAGGTTACAAATCCATTGGCATAAATATGTAGGTGCATCTCTTTCACGACCATGCTGTATTGTTTATAACGACATGGAAGTAATGAGAACTTTGTAATGAGAAATCATTGCCATAATCAAAAGCACAGTCCATCCTGCCTACTCAGAGCAGGATTAAAACACACACTAAATTAATTTCAAGATTTGTCATTAAAAAAACAAACCCTCAAGCTGTTAGCAGGCCCCCAGTGAATGTCAATAAAGCACCACTGTAATTTTAGGTAAGATGTTTGATAAATATCAACTTTGTCAATGAAGCAGAAAGCAGGTTTGGCTAACAGATGATGCAAGGATCATGTGTGGCCTGAAAAAGACACCATTATTCCATTCCGAGGGATTAGAATGGATGAAATCGTCCTTAATGAACTTATTAACAGCATGATGCTGAAAAACAGCAGCGGTCTCAATCAAATTATGATACAACTTCACTGGTGGCATAGGAAAAGGTAAATTTCCCATTGCTCTCCCCCCCCCCCCATTTTAAGAGCAGAATGGGCCTGCTGGATTAGACCAAATGCCCATATAGTCCACTACCCTGTTCAGATAATGGCCTGTCAGTTGCCTATGGGATGTCTGCAGCACAACATAAGCATAAGCACAACATAAGCATATTTTCCTATAGTGGGGGGACAACTCAGTCATAATGGCTAGTGGCCAATGTAGTTGTTTTGAGTGGGTGTTTTGTTTTGTTTAGGAGAAAGGAGATAAGCATGTCTAGGTTCTCCTCTGTGAAATGAGTATTTTGTAGTTCCCACAGCAATTCCGACAGCCCCCTGCTCTAGCCTACTTGGTTTCTTGCTCTCCAAATCTACCTTGATAAAAGCCTGCCAAGTAAAGAACTATTAGTAACTTTGTTATCACTATTGAAAAAGCACTTTGTGGACTCCAGTTAATTCTGTTACACATACAAGCTGTCAGAAATCAGGAGAGCTAACGGCAAGAAAATCACTACGACAACTGCAAAGCAATGATTCTGTCAGCAAAGGCAATAAATTATTATTGAAAGTCATATTTTTAAAGGCTATATACACAGGGAATCTCGCAGTAGTCCTCACGAGCCAATAATCAAAAGATCCCAAATATTAATAAAGGTTAAATGTACCAAGAGAGACTAAATTAGTGTGCTGTCTATCCATTCACTAAAACAACATACTTCTCCAATGTCATTTTGTTTCATTTCCTTTCAAAAACAAATTCCATTCTCTAGATAGTAAGGATATCCAAACATAGCTACTCTATAACTGAATATTCTTCAGCTATCTGTACAAAATGTTCTATTTTTAGTATTCAACATACCTGAGGGTACCAGTGCTATGGCTCTCTGATCCACTTCTATGGCACCCGTGAAAAATCAATAGGAGGCTAACTCATGCAAGAAATAATTCTACTCTCAGGGTACTGCACGGCAGATATGATTTTTATAGTAAGTACCATAAATTTAAGTGCTAATTTTAGTGGGCTCATAAGCTCCTGAAACTAGTTTTCCACGGATCAGTTAAAACAGGAGAGCATTTCAGCGGCAGACCTTTTTGTTTCTGTACGGTTCCTTGTGGATTTAGTCATTTTACGGGGGAATATACTTCCAACCTCGCATGAAGACTTGCTGTACCAATACAGAAATGCTTTGGGATGGGGTTGGTGACCACTGCAACATTGGTGTATGCAGAGCTGTTATTACTAGATATTGGAGGCACAGTGTGGGCGGGGCGGGCTGTCACCCCGGGCACAGTTTTTAGGGGGGCACATTCCTCACGACACCCTGCCAACCCACAGGGTGGCACATGCCCTGTTGCCTCCTTCTCATGCCGCCCTCAAGCGTGATTACAGCATATGCACAATTTTGTTGAACGCTCATGGAATAAAATGTTTTATACTGTTACCCACTATACAGATTGAGAAAAATGACCTAAATGAAGGAAGCAAAACTATAGCTCTGATCCAGCTACTTTGCTTAAATCACTATGGTTAGTTGAAATAAGCAGGATTTAACTTGGGCTGGTCTTTCTGGCCCCCATTTCTGTCGCTCACTTTATGGAGCCTTAGAAAAGGCCTGCAGAACAAACTGACAAATCAAAAGACCACGACAAGAGCAGGCTAGTCACCATGCAGAAACATTCGTCCTTCTGAAGGATAACTCCCTACTGTACAAGTAAGGTTTTTCAAACATAGAGATGATCATCTGTGTTGGGGGAAATGCAGTTTTATGCTGTAATATATGAAAGGCTGATTCTTCTGTCACATGTAGCATACATTACTGGCAGTTTATATGCACACCTACTGCACAAACCGTCTATCTGCTGTGGAGAAAACACTGCACACCATATATTCAGATCACCACCAGTACAAAGACCCATGTGTATCTCCACATATGGATAACATTATTTACAAAGAGGTTCTGATTGTGCATCATTTTCCAGCAGAGGGGCCATGTGCATGCTCCTTAGAGCCAAAAGGCCAGGTGTTTGCCTGGGAGTCAGGGAGTCTAGCGGAAGCAGGCTGGATGCAGTTGAAGCCCATGAAGCAAAAGCGAGAGGATGTTCCAGGAGCATGAAAGGTCGGAAGGCAGCATCCTTCTGCCTCACTGTGTAAAGCAATAGAACATCTGTCAACTGAACGACTGGATCTGTTCCCTATTGATTGGTCCTTTGCGGTATCCTTCCACATCAGCCAATCTGTGGAATCTGCTAATTAAGTTGAGCAAACCATATAGGAAAAATGGGGAGTGGGGGGAGGCAACAGGGCATTTTTTCTCCATTCCCATCCCTACTTTCCGCCTTAAAATATGGAAGCCCTCCACAGATGATCAAGATGTATATCCATTTGCTTTTTAATTGAAAAAGTCTCAAACTGTAATTTTGTACATTTATATCCTGTTTCTGGGTCAACCAGGCTCCCTTCTTTCATAGCATGCATGACTCCAGCACTGCCCCACAGAAGATGTAAGGAAGAGGCAAGCAGTCAGACAACTACTATGTTGTAGGCAAGGAAAGGCAGAAAAACTACAGCATTCTCCTCCGACTAAGGGAGAAAGAATCACCTCGGAAATCTCTCCCATTATTTACTTCCAGTATGTATCATGCATTGCATAATAAAGACACAATCTTTTTTTTCATGCACATGATTACAATATGTGTTTTCCAGTTTTAATTCAATCAAAGTATCTTATTAGCTTCCTCTGTTGCAAATGTTTATAATGCTGCACAGTGGACATTAGATGCAAATTGATGTTACAAAAAGTAATTGCATATCTCATTTACAATTTAATCGTGTCCAGAAAACATTGTTTCTACTTTAGTCAGACTAATACCATAAAGATGAAAAAGACTGATTGGGCTGCTAACTATTTTAGTTGAGTAAAAATTATCTACAGCAGGGATTAGTGTTTTATAAACTGCTTCTTGCTCTCTCTGCAACAAAGGCTCTGCTGTGGCTGCCTTAAATCTTGCAAAGGATTATTCTTTCTATAAAAGAGATTCATGGAGCTTAACTCTCAGTTCCCTATTCTCAAATCATCAGTAAAACCATCTACTTTACCCTAATGAGGACTCCAGTCTCTGAACTAGAAAAAAAAGTGTTGCCAGGCAACACGAATGACATCAGCAGCCTGTAACATTTTCAGAGGAAATATATAAAACCAGAGGCTGTCACAGCTTCTCTCGCTTATGGAAATAAGATTTTAAAAGTGACCCCTCCAACCCAATTCTTCTAGTGGATCTTAAAATAACTTTTGAGATCAAAATCATGTCTGAATGTGATTTAGCTATTCCATTCCCTACAATCAGAGTAATGACATAATGGCTAGGAAGAGGGGCAGAGGCAAGAGGAAGCGATTGAGCTTAAACAGTTGAGAGGAACTGAAGAGATTCCTGATACATGCTTAACTTACATGCAGCATCAGCGACAAGTGAGGTGGAATGGATACAATCCAATCTCACAATTATAATGAATAAGACTGGCAGAGTACGGAGGGGAGATCTTCAGAGGGATGGGGAAGACAGACTAACACTGAAACTCTACAACTGGCTTAGGTGGCACTAGGGATGGAGGAGAAATTTAATACAGTTTGTACTTAAAGGTAAACCTACTGATTTCACATTTTCCAAAAATAATTCCCAAACTGAAGCTCCACCGTCCATAAAAGCACAGCCATCCACTTTTCTGAATTTTGTACAGCAGTTCTTCACTCAGGTAACGTTTACAAAAATGCATATACTAAGGTAAAGTGTTTGTGAATGAATATATTATTGAAAGCAACATACAAAAATGTGTATAGTTTCTGTGTTAGGCCTCATTCCTCTTTCCTTCTTACTTGTAAGCCGCTAAATTAGATCATTGTTTTATATAAACCTATATGGATTTTTGTTATTGTTGTTTGTATTTATTTACTGATGATACTGCTTCATATATATTTGTTTCGCTTAATTGTTCACCTGATCTGTTGTGAACCACCTAGGGCACAACTTTGTGGGAAAGTGGCAGACAAACTAACAGATGGTGATGCTAGCTGCCCTTGCTACAGAGTCTATGCAATACAGAAGAAATAAAAGCACATGTCTGGTAGGAACACAGGTAGCTTTGTCATATGAAGTCATCCCTCTGGTCCATCACTGGTAGAAGCTCCCCAGTATTTTAGACTAGGGATTTTTTGCAGGGCAAAATATGTCTGGAGATATTATTATAGCCAATCGTTCAGACAAGAGATAGTAGGGAATTGCAGCCAATATATATTATGCTAGCTGAACTGAAGGCAAAATGATCACAGACACTACTACTAAATCATTTTCTAACCATTTTTTCCTTTACAATTGTGGCTCCGCTTTCATCAAAGTAATCCGGGGGGGGGGCAATTCTTCTTTTCACTGAGTTTATGGCTCTAACGTTACACTGCTCCTGTGCAGGGACGCGGACTTATAAAAAATATTGGGGGGGCCCGGGAAAGCTCATGAATAATAAATAAGCTCATGAATATGCAAATAAAGTGGCTCCGGCCCTAAATAGGGCAAGCCACGCCCCCCAGCCAGCCGATTGGCTGGCTGGGAGGTGTGGCCAGTCGGGATTCCCCTGTTCTCGCGGGGGCTGAAACCGCCAGGAGGAAGGAAATTCCCCCCGGCAGTGCCTTGGCAGTGGCGGTGGTGCTGCGAAGCAGCGAGGCAGGAGCCCCCGCCCCCGGCGCCCGAGATTATTGGGGGGGCTGAGCCCCCCCAAAAAATTTTTTGAGGGGGCTCGAGCCCCCTCAAGCCCCATGGAGTCGGCGCCTATGCTCCTGTGTGCAGACCACTTGGAGAAATGGGTTCTTTTTATTTATGGCGCTGTGGGTAAAAGCCTCAGCGCCTAGGGCTTGCCGATCGAAAGGTCGGCGGTTCGAATCCCCGCGGTGAGGTGTGCTCCCGTTGCTCGGTCCCAGCGTCTGCCAACCTAGCAGTTCGAAAGCACCTCCGGGTGCAAGTAGATAAATAGGGACCGCTTACCAGTGGGAAGGTAAACGGCGTTTCCGTGTGCTGCGCTGGCTCGCCAGATGCAGCTTTGTCACGCTGGCCACGTGACCCGGAAGTGTCTGCGGACAGCGCTGGCCCCCGGCCTCTTGAGTGAGATGGGCGCACAACCCCAGAGTCTGTCAAGACTGGCCCGTACGGGCAGGGGTACCTTTACCTCCAGCCAATATATCATCACCAGAAGGAGAGGAGGGATCGGGACTAGGAGGCAAAACTGAAAGTTGGAATTGTTTGGCGAGATCCTGGGAAGGCTCTTCTGCCTCAGTAGAGGAAAAGAGATCAAACTGCTGAATTTTCAGGACAGGAGGAAAACGAACTGGGCCCAGCTGCTGCAGGCTGATTGGCACTGAGAAATCCAGAAAGGTGCATCAGCTGAAAAGCAACTCCTGCTGAGCAAAGGGCTGAAGCTGTTTTCTGTTGTGGTGACCCACTTTCAGAATTCTCTCCCCAAGGAAGCATTCCTGGCACCTACTTTTATGTCTTCTTGTCACTGAGTGAATATATTTTTATTTCCCCAACCTTTAATCATCTGAAGAGGAATGTTGACAGTTTTTCCTGTGCGTTCTTTTCCTTTGTGTATTGAAGGATGAGAGACAGAGGAATATACAGAGCCCAGTCAGTGTAGCAGTAACAAGACTTTGAACCAACAGCAGGTGGGAGAGAATTTAAAGCACCAGGAAGCAATGGGAATGTGAGGTCTATCTACTGGTGTAATATATTTGTTAAACATTTTAGGATAATTAATCCGGATCCAGATTTCACCTGCAGGCAGACCAGTTTGGCAAGTGAATGGGAATACCCACCTTTCTATCACCTGGTTTCACCATGAAGTCAGGTGGAAGTATCTTCATTTCCTTGTGTGGTTTTTATTTCAAATCAGGTGGGGAAAGAAAGTGGGATTTGCAGCATCAGCTAATTGGTGGCTGCTTCAAATCATGCTTTCTTTGCCTGCAGGGGCAACAGAAGCAGTACAGAAAGCCCTGCAAGCTAAGTTCTAATCAGTTGGTCGGTGCTTCCAGCAAGCCCCATTTGGGGCTGCATTCACTTTATTCATAAGTAGAATGATGCATGTCTTTTTTTTCCCAGTAAAAGAATAGTCAGATAATTCCCAGTTCCAAAATAAACCAAATAGCTCAGTTTTGTGAGAACAGAAACTAGAAAAATAGTAAGAGGGGCCCCAAATGAAATTAGGAAGAGAATAAGTTAAACCACAGCCATGGGAGTCCATGGCCAAATGAGGAATGAATCCCAACTATTCTCAGCTGCAATGAGAAATTCACAGAAGAGCAAAAAGCTCCACATATCAATTGGCTTGAAAACAAAAACTTTATTCGGAAAGGTGGCCGTAAATGCACAGAACTCACCAGTTTGCCACCAGTGATCCAAAACCGGAACCTTGAAGATTTTCTTGCACCATTCTAACGTATCCACATCACAGCGTTCACCAGCTACAAAGAGTGTTCGGAACCTGTTTCAAATAAAGATTATTTTCAGCATGTCTCCGCAATATAAAAAAGATAAGCACGCTAAGGCAAGTGTTGTGTGCGTGCTTTGAAGAATAAGCTATGGACTTTCCCTGTTGATGAAGCTGATTTAACAGACGGCGGAAGGGAGCTCTGAGGTGACTAGCATGCGCTGCAGTTAGCAGAAATAGCTGCAACACTTCTTAGCTGAGAAAAATCCATCGTAAAGTGGGTTCTCTTTCAGGGGCGCGACTGAGACAGGGCATTTTTTCTGCTTGAAGTGAAACAGCAACTTAGCAACCGCCTCCCCAAGAGCACAGAACCAAGACTGGCCAAGTTAATTTGGTGAAGGAAGCAGAAAATCCCCCCAAACTCCTCTCTGTGAGAGTAAAAACACAGCAAATAAAAATTTGCTACCCTTTCAGGACACTCAATATCAGCTGCCTGAGTTGACTGCCCTACTCTTCCTAATGGTAGAGTCAGCCCTACCCAGGAAATCATTGCAGTACCAAATTCATTGTAAAAGGAGGATCTCCCCAGTGCAGGCTCTGAGAGGGGTAGAGAAAGAAGCATACAATAGGGAGGTTTCCACAAACTCTTCATGGTAGAATCCTGGGAGCTAAGCAGTAAATAAATAGGACCATTGACAGATATATGAGAAATGACAATGGCATGTGTCTTACAAATGGCAAAAGACACTTGCAAATTATAAGGAGGGACACACATAGGAAACCTGTCCATAAAATGGCAGAATAAAACAGAGAATATGTTATGTCAGCAACTGAACAGCTACAGATGAATTATGCAGAGGAGCTCCCATAAATATTTATTTTTTGTTTGTAGAACAATGCATACTAGGTTTAATGTGATAAAAGGCATGTTCAAACCTATGCAAGCCGATCTCTTCTCTCCTTGCTACAGCATTTTGGCCTCTTCAGCACTTTATTTATAAGACAGGGCCACCTCACTGGCACTTTGGAAGCTACACAAAATCCTACCTCCACTCTGGTAAACAGAGATGCTGAGGAATCATTACTATTTAAGCAGCAAACAGTACAGTCCTAAATAACATAGCTAGAATTCCCAGTATATCTTCTTCAGATTGTAGTATCTGTAATAACTAAATTCCACAACAAACATTCATAACTAAAAACAGCTGGCCTGTGATGCCTTAAACCAGGTGGGGAAACTATGGCCCTCCAGATGTTACTGGACTAAAGATCCCATGATCCCTGACTGTTGACCATGCTGGCTGGGCTGAGGGGAGCTGGAGTCCAGCATCTGGAGGGCTAGCAACTCCCCACCCTTGCCTTAAAGGGTAACAAAATTTCTGGTATGAGGGCAAGTAGTTTGGGGTAAGTGTAATATTGGTGAGTATCTAAATAATGTGTTAACAAGGATTTATTTAGCCAAGGTTTTGTGTATGTACATTCAACACACTTTCACTTTATTGTTTGGAAATTACAGCTGAATCATTTTTCCCCTCAGGCTTTAATTGTCTGAGGACTGCAGGGTTTCTCATCTGAACATTTTTGTAAAAAACAGATGGTGAGTCATCACATGCAGCCCTATCCAGAGTGTGTTTATATGGGGGAGGGGAGATAAAAGGGATTTCATTGTAAAATAATGGGATATTTTCATTTTTAAGAACAAGCCTGAGATATATTCCATTCTGAACCCACCTCTGGGGCTGCCAAACTACCAATTTTGATCATTTGTCACTGCAAAAGCTCAAAAGGTCCAAACAGATTAGGCTCGGATGGCTGGTTACATCTTTCTCTTTCTTATAACAAATATTTTATGGTATTATTGTATTGGAACGTCTTTATCTCCAAACTAGAATTTGAAGCCGACTTCATGTCATGATTTCCAGTTCTGCTTTGTCAGCAAACCATGGTCTGTGCAAATCATAGTTCGACCTATTAATATGTCACAGTACATGATGGGTTGCTCAAACTAGTAATGGAGAAAAGGAGGAAACTGGTGCATTCTGAGGGAGAAAGGAGGGGGAATGAAAGCTTGAAACACTGCAATGATGGTTTGACCATTTGTATGTACCTATGGCCATAGTATATATGCACACACATATTTGTTATAGCATCTTTACAGCTGGCTGAACTCGAGATATACACTTGGGGCTTATTTCCGATAGTGAGTAAAAACAAGCTTCCAGCTTAATCTAAACTCACCTTGTCAGGCTGTGCTGTTTCCCCAAGTTAGCCTCAGGGTCCTGTTGACGGATTGCTCTAATTGCAGTTGGTGCAGTAAACAAGGCTACGACTCCATGCTCTGCGAGCACACGAAAAAAGCTCCAGCGTCTGGCGTTCCCACAGGCTTCCCCTACAAAGAGATTTGGGAGGTGTTTTTAAAGTTGTCATTGGGTAAAAGTGTTCCATGAGTCTTCTGCGATTTGAGTCCTGAACGTAACAGTAGTTATCAACTTGTCAGCAGTGTATTCAAGCAACTGGTAAATTGCCTTTATATAACTAGAAGGAAAGCATCCATTTGCTGCTCCATTAAGGGCTCAGTTCCATCTTATGGTGCGCTCAGAAGTGCACTACGTTCAGATACGAAATGTGTCTGAAATTTCAATTTCTTGGCTGTGTTAGCACCAATGTTTTCTTATTTATTCACTTACATTTCTGTTCTCCAAGACACTTAAAGGGGTGTATATAGCTGCAACACCATCAACACCATTTTATCCTCACAAGGAGTTGTCTCTGAATTGTTCTGGTATGTGAGAAGTAAAACTAATCCTCCCTTGGCTATCTATACACAGTACTTCGAAAACAAAGGAAAGCAACAAGGAATTAATATGGGATTAAACAGCCTGACCCACCGGGTTTTGCTGTCTTACAGGAGCAGATCCTTAACAAGCTGTGACTTCCTACATCTCTGAACTCCGCTAGGAGGCTAACAAACATAATTAGCTAGATGCAACATTCACTTTGCGGTCTGAACATACAGAAAGCACCTGTTCAGACCACTGGCAGGACTTTGTAGAAAGCTCTGAAAGTTGGGTTGATTCCCCATCCCTCATCCATACACAGTAAAACAGCACATATGGGATGAAGAGCTTCCACACCAAATTTCTTCCAGATATCTAGAAATAAAGAAGCTATTTTGCCTCGATAAGTCTCCTGTTGTAAGGATGGAAGGAAGGATGTGAAACTGGACAGAATGCACACTTGAAAGAACAACTGTTGCAGGCAAGCAGCTTCCTGTTCGCTACACTCCTGCATATTGGAGCTTAATGTACTCAATCACCGGGCTGTAGGAGGAAAAAGACAACCAGGGGGAAAGATCACTGAACACCCATCCCAAAGGTTTCATCAAGCCTGGCTTAAAGATCAAAAACACGGTACTTCACAAATATGGATGTGAAGTCCAATGTAGCCTCCTTAGATGAAGCCAGGAATGTAAGTTCAAAAACGAGCCAATGCACCGACAGTAGACATTTCCTGCACATTGTATGCATGGTTTTTTTTAAAGCAAATAGCAGGAATGAATGCCCCAGCTGAGACTGCAACCCCGTAGTGGAGATGGGTGGTGGTTTTAATTCTTTGCCACCTGCTGTGGTCAAAATCCTGATAGCCCACATGCGCCCACTATTGGAAAAAGCTCCTATTCGTGCCAAAGAGTTAAAGCCTCCTACCACTCAAGACTTGATTCCAGGTTGGCTCTCAGTATGTACAGTTTAAACAAACCTCAGTTTCCCAGATTTGAATGCAACGGGAAACTGTGGTTTTAGTTATAACCAGAAGCAAAGATTTCCATTCTCCTCCTCTAGCACACAGAAGAGGAAAGGTCCTCAGGCTCACTGACTGTCATAGTGGGAGGCTATGGCTTTCCACTGCTTCCTGATCCAGGACAGTAGGTGACTTTCCAAGTACTGCCTCCTTTGGCTGGGCAGAGCTTCCGTGGCCATTTAAGAACCAGCTCAGTCCACACACGAGGCTGCAGAAGAACAGTCATGTCAAACCCATGCTAAACTTACATAACAGTAAAACATGCATTGGTGTTCTGTTTTTTGTTTTTCCCCAGAATTCTCCGAGAGCTTATTTAGCCTATAAAAGTAATTAAATAAGAGACATTAGAATAAACAGTCACCTCGTATAAAACCGTTGTATTCCCGTGCAAGAGAGGTCCATAACAGATATAAGAATGGCCAACCACCCAGCCTAAATCAGATGCTGCCCACCAAACCTAAAAGAAAGAAAGATTTTATTTTTTAAGTATAAGCACAGTTTTTCATAAGCATGAACTAGGTGAGACTGTCCCTGAGGTTGGTCCGGAAGCTGCAGCAAGTGCAAAATGCTGCAGCATGACTGCTAATTGCATCAGAATATTGCTACCATATGACACCATCCTAGAAAGACTCACACTGCCTATCAGTTAGCTACCAGGTGAAGTGGGAGGTGCTGGCACTGGTGTTCAAAGCCCTATACAGCCTGGAACCAGGAGAGCTAAAATATTGTCTCACACTTTATATACCCAGCTGGTCACTGCACTACAGGGAAGGCCTTCTACAGAAACCATGTAGGATTCAGGCCTTTAGTGTGGTGGCACCTACCCTTCTGTAACACACCAGACACGATCTCTGTTATCTTTTTGGCACCTACTAAATGCCTTCCTGTCCCAACAAGCCTTTTAAGTGGAGATTTTAAATTCCAGTCTGAATCTCTGCAGTGTGCTTGAAATTGTTTTTAAATATGCTTTTTTAAAATTGTTAAATCACTTTGGGATATTTCACAGGAAACAATTTATAAAACGAAAAATAAATCAATAGAAGTTACCTCTTTAGATTTAAGGCCGTATATAGCTGACATGGTCCAGTTTAACATAACGGCATAGCCACCTGTTGGTCGAACAACACCCTAAGTGAGAAGCAATGTGAAATTAAGATCGTTTGTAAATAAATTATGCCCTGAAACTTCATCCCATAAGGAAAATTACTGTTTCCATAATTTAACTTTCTGAAGCAATTGGCAACCCTCGCCTTAGCTCCTAGGAGCCCTTCAGAATAGCAGATATAGCCTTTACTTTTAGACTTTATCTCTGCAACGAGGAGGTGTGGACTGCTGTTCTTTTAAAATAAAAGCAACTGCTCTTTGCAATTTGGTTTATATCCTATATATTGTGCTGAAACCAGATAGATGCACTGCAGTAACCTAAAGGCTCCTGGCCCTAATGCACTTACAAAGAACATTACAAGATTTATGTTGAACCTCAGGTAACTGAATAAAAACTAGCAGTTTTCAGTCCAAATACTACAGAGGACATACACGCCCAGATACTGATGTTTTCAGAAGAGTTCTGCTTGAACACTTCCAGATCTCACAGTCCACATGTGAGAACAGCAGGGACTGGAAAATCCACGCATCTGGTTTGTCTTGGTCTCCACTTGGGATTTCTTAGAGAGGGGAAAACTCACTACTTGCCTTTCCTTAGAACACTGTCCCTAGTTTTCCCTGGTTTTGTGTTACGGTACTTGACAGGATATGGCCTTGGATACTACAGGGAACACGGTTAGCCAGATACATAGCAGAGTGTCTTGCACATCTAAGTTGGCACTGCTTCATTCATGGGATACGGACACATTTATTTTCTCAGTAGGCTAAGGTCTTCCCTCAGAGGTAGGCACAGAGGAAAGAGACCTTTTTGTCTATGGCATCTCTCTCATAGTCCTCTTCCCAGGAAGGTTTTCCTGGCACTTATGCTCAGGTTTTTCTCTTTTTTCTTTTCAAAGGTGCCAGGCAAAAGCACCCCCCTACTCCCCAAGCTTTTAGTCTCGGATGTATTTTTTTCCATCCGCTGTGTTTACTTTCAGAAATGCCTTCCACTGTTTATGGTGTTCCTATTAGTTACTGTAAACCCTAGTGGGGAATTTTGAATCAAAGGGCAGTATAGAAATGGCTTAAATTAAATAAATAAAACTATCTGCCCCCCACCCCCGATCCCTGCATGAGATGGTGAGAAGCCTCACCAGCCACTTGTGCGAGTCATTTGCAAATACAGCTGCTGATGCTTCTTGTTAACTAAGGCTTAAGGTGGGGGACTCTCCTCAGCCTGAGCGCCACATCTGGGGAGAATCCCAAGGGCCAGACAGGAGGGCCAGGAGGGCCGCACTACACTCCTGGGCCTGACGTTCCTCACACCTAATCTCAGGCCATTCTCCATCTCTCCTCATGGACCATTTGCTAGCAATCCCTTTCCTCATCTAGTCTATTCAAGTTAGCTATATGTTGCTGTAAACTTTCCTCTTGCTTCTTGTTTATGTTTGAGAAGCTATCTTTTGATGTTGCTTCTTCCCACACACTATTCCATATATTTCATGTGGTTTATTTCATCTGCTTCATCGATTTCATCCAAATGCCATCACAACACAGGAGCTTATTTCTTTGATCTTATCCTGATCCAGCACAACACAGGACCCCCCCCCAAAAAAAAAGCTGTGTGGTGTCATCTAGGGAGAATCAAGAGAATCTGAAGATCAGAGACACAGTGGAGCTACCTAGGATCTTCAAGGTGAACTGCTGCAAAGGTGCAGCAGCAGGCTGGGAATACTTTGGTTGGGAAGAAAAATCCAAGTGGCTCAAATATTCACTGACAACACCGCTCCAGACATTAAAAGTGATGTTGGAGTAATGAAATACGATTAAAGTCAGCTCCAACAACACTAATCTTTTATGAGTGCTAAGCTCTGGGAAAACATTTTCAGCCTTTTAATTAAATTCTCCCCCATGTGGAATAGAGCATAATTTGGTCACAGATACTGAAAGGCAGGGCCTACCTTGGGAGTGCCAGTTGTTCCTGATGTATACAGAATATAAAGTGGATGGTCTGAAAGGACAGGGACACAGTCACATGGCTTTGCTTTCGCCATTTCTTCATGCCAGTCCAGGTCATGCCCTGGTTTAAGATCAACATCTCCCTGCGTGTCAAGAGACAGAGCACTGCAACCATTTAAACTGGATTTAACAAGAACAAGAAAGGCTCAGAAATAATTAGCTGTTCCTTGTGGAGCACCAAATATATGCCTGATTTCTCTACCACATGACTTTTAGCAGCTGTACTGAAACTTACAAAATTATAAGCTTTAAACACGTAAAGCAATAGAGGTTTTGCCACAGAGAAAAATAAATGTTACTTAAAAGTATCGTAAAAATGAAATGTTCCAATTAAATATTCAGGGAAATTATGAAGTCAGAAAGGGAAGGGAATAGTCCAAGAAAGTGTGTCAAAGTATTTGCTGTAACTCTACCATGTTAGGGCGGCTATAAACCAGAACTTTGTCAGGTTGGTGCTCTATCATCTCCAACGCTTTCTCTAAAAGTGGTATGTATTCGACTTTTCTTCCAGGTTCTATTCCAAAAGTTGCCGTTACAACCAGTTTGGGCTAAAAGAAGAGAGAGAGCTTTATCAGTTAAAATATTATTTTCGAAACGGGCAATATCATCATGGGTCTTTGGGTTGTTTCACAAGTTACTTTGAGATTAGGCTAGGGAATGAGGAGCCCTGCCTCCAATTCCTATAAATAACCATATTCCAGTCAGATCCCTAAGCTGTTCCTGAGAACTGGGATCCAATACAAACAACACCTCCCTTAAAGGTAAATGTAAAGGGACCCCTGACAGTTAAGTCCAGTCACGAACAACTCTGGGGTTGCGGCGCTCATCCTACAACTCCCATGATCCCTAGCTAGCAGGACCAGTGGTCAGGGGTGATGGGAATTGCAGTCTCAAAACATCTGGAGGGTCGAGGTTGAGGAAGCCTGCTTTACAGGCCAAGGGAGCCGCTGTTTGTCCGCATCGCAGACAGTTTTTCCGGATCATGTGGCCAGCATGACTAAGCCGCTTCTAGTGCAATGGAACACCGAAACCAGAGCAGCGCAGGGAAACACCATTTACCTTCCCGCCAGAGCAGTACCTATTAATCTACTTGCACTTTTGGGGTGCTTTCGAACTGCTAGGTTGGCAGGAGCTGGGACCGAGCAACAGGAGCTCACCCCATTGTGGGGATTCGAACCGGCAACCTTCTGATCGGCAAGCCCAAGGCTCAGTGGTTTAGACCACAGTGCCACCCATGTCCCTCTCTTACCCAGTCCTAAAACCACAAGCTCACCACTAATACACGGATACACCACACTTCACACTGCTTCTTCTATCTATCAAATGTGAAAACCTGATATACCATTTACGTGTAGACATTTCTTTCTTGTTAAGAGAATAAATTATTTTACATGGACACCAGGCGACTTTTAAAATGAAAGTTCAGCATGCATTTCCTTGAAAACATTTCCTTGAACTGGGAAGGAGGAGGGAAGCTTTAAAATATATTTGTTTTATAACCTACGTAAATACATATACAGAAAATATATTTGTTTTATAACCTATGTAAATACATATAAAAGAAAATATATTTGTTTTATAACCTCTGCCCCACGTAAATATGTTTCTGAAGTCTTCGTGCTATGAAAGAAAATAACCTGTGATGACTAAAGAGGCTGCTGAGAAAGAGAAATAGCTGGGAGAAGTTTTGTACTTTCTCTTTCTCTCTCTTTTTAACCACTCATGAAACATTACAAAGAAGTGTCAAGACTGAACCTCACCACCTAGTGGATTTCCTTGAAATAGCGGGTTTGGAACAGGATGAGGTGAGCTGCCATCTTGGTTCCTCAGTGTCTTCAATCCATTCCCCCCAAGTGGCCAGCTGTCGGCTGCACTTGTGGGGAAAGAGTGCTTGACCTACTTTCTGGAGAAGGGGCAAGTGAGCAAATTCCCATTAGAAACAGAAGGGCATGATGACAAGTGAGGAGCAGTTTGCTTGACCACTGTGTGCCTGACACTTTCCTTTACTGGCAGCAAGCAGAGACTGCACGTCTTTGAAGACTGGAGAATGTGTCATTTTGTCAAATCAGAACACATTCCAAGCCCTCACACATATTTTTTTCCACAGAAATACAATGAGAAACTGTCTGCCTATTTTTTCCAAAACTTTTCCAATTTGAAAATAAAAAATTATCATGTATTCCCTGTTTATAGAAAAAGGTAATCAACATTATTGGTGGAGTGGTTCCAAGTACTTGCATTTTATTGCCAAAATTTCATTATCCCCATCAACTGGAAAATTTCAAGGATTCTTTTAAACAATATACCATTATTATTTTTTAAAACCTATTAAAGGGAGGCATTTCTTAACCACAGTCACATAAAACTAAAGACATGTGACAGCCTGTTCAGTGTATTGCAACAGATAAAAGAAAAATCCTACACTTCAATTCCACATCTTTAATCACTGTTCGCCTTTTAGACTTCCAATAACCTGACAAGACTAACAATGATCTAGGGTGGGCTTTTGTGATATTCCCACAGCTATTTAAAATTCAAGATAAACCACCGGAAAACTGATATGATGCGTGTGCTACTCTGGAGCAGAATGGGAAAATAATTATTTTTATTAGCAAGAGTGGATGTGTACTCACCTCTTTAAAACGAGCACCGTGACTAAAGAATTTGAACAAATAATTATGAACAAGGAAAGAAAGAGGCAGCAGAAATAGTGTAAATGAAGTCCTGTAACTGACGCTGAGGAGATTTATTCTCCTGCAATGCCTGAAAGGAGGTTCGTTTCCCTTCATTCCTCTACTTACACTGGTATCACTTGCAAACACCATATCAGTAAGAGAAGAGCAAGAATTAGCCAGAGCAAAGTCAGCCATAAGCTGGCAAGCGTTGACTGAAAAGCAGTCACTTGTAACGGAGCTCTTTCTTGTTAATATTGCAATAGCTGAACCACACTGTGAAAGGTAGACAGTATGGGGGAACATCCATTATGGCACCTGAAGATGTTCTAATGCAGCCATGACCATCAGATGTTTTGGACTACGACTCCTACCATCCCTGGCCATTGGCCAATCTGGTTGGGGCTGATGGGAGTTTTAGTCAACAACATCTGAAAGGCACCATGTTGGCTACCCCTGCTCTAGAGTGGAGCCACATCTAGCATGTCTGATGACTTTCTGAATGTATTAGGTGCAGGGATGCCAACAGGATTTCCTGGGCCCAGTACACTATAGGTAGACCAGGGGCCCTGCCCCATTCCCCATCCCGTAAGGTAAAGGACCCCTGGATGGTTAAGTCCAGTCAAAGGTGACTATGGGGTTGCGGCACTCATCTTGCTTTTGGGCCGAGGGAGCTGACGTTTGTCCACAGACAGCTTTCTGGGTCATGTGGCCAGCATGACTAAACCGCTTCTGGCACAATGGAACACTGTGGTGGAAACCAGAGCACATAGAAATGCCATTTACCTTCCTGCCTATTTATCTACTTGCACTGACTTGCTTTTGAAACTGCTAGGTTGGCAGGAGCTGGGACAGAGCAACGGGAGCTCACTCCGTCGTGGGGATTCGAACCACCAACCTTCTGGTTGGCAAGCCCAAGAGGCTCAGTGGTTTAGACCACAGCGCCACCCACGTCCTTCCCCCATCCCCTATCCCCACCCATCTATTGATGACTGCTGCCTATGTACATATACAGTGGTACCTCGAGTTACAAAAGCCTCAGGTTACAAACGCTTCAGTTTACAAACTCTGCTAACCTGGAAGAGTTACCTCACATTGAGAATTTTGCCCCAGGATGAGAATGGAAATCGTGTGCCAGCAGCACAGCTGCAGCAAGAGGCCCCATTAGCGAAAGCACGTCTCTAGTTAAGAACAGTTTCAGGTTAAGAACGGACCTCCAGAACAAACTAAGTTCATAACTAGAGGTACCACTGTATTAACTTAACCTATCCTATCTCACAGAGCTGTTGCACATATAAAAAGGGGACAGGGTAAATATTACAACCTTGAGCTCCTGAGTGAAAAAGCAAGTATATGCCACACTCTGCAAAGTTGCACTATGGAACACATCCCCACAGGCTATAGTGCAATGGCCACCAGCTTGGGTGCCTTTAGAAGAAGGTGAGACAAGTTCATGGATGAGGCAGTCAGTGGCAACTAGACACTCCGGCTGTTGTCTGCCCACACAGCTGCTTCTGAATAGCAGTTGCTGGAAACCTTAGGAGGCGAGACAGCTATTACATTCAGGTCCTGGGGCCTGACCCAGGAAGGCCCTTCTTTTGGATTACCATTCACAGATCATGTAAATAAAGCCAGAAAAGCAGCTTTCTACAGTGTTTCAGTGTCCTGATGTTTACAGCAAAATACCTAAACAAACAAACAAAATGTCGATCCTAATACTACGGGGGGAAAAAACCCCAAACCCTCAAATAATGTGCAGTTTCACAGCTTTAGTGTCTGAACGACCAACTCTCACCCTAGCCTACCTCACAGGGCTGGTGTGAAGATAAAAGTACAGAGCCTTGAGCTCCTGGGAATAAAACTGCGAGACAAATATACAACAAGCAACAAGTATATGCAATTTCACAGCTTGCAGGCCATTTTGCCCACCTTGATCAACCCAAAAGTATCCTGGTGTTGAAGTACAGTCTTACAGAAATGTTAACATGCTACAGCTGTAAGGTGTTTGTGAATTCACCTTGTATTTTATATTTTTGTTTATGGTTAATGGTGTATTAATAAATAATAGCCCTGTGATGACAAGCCGACCAGCAGTGGGGACATGGAAACTTGGGAGGGGGGCGAATTGCAAGAGCACCATTTTTCCAAGTAGGAAGGAAGCCTCGTTTATTTCAAGGAAATTACTTCTGAGTAAAGCATACCAAAGCCAGCCAATTGTGTTTTACTCTATAAAGGCACCACACTTGGGAAGTGAATGAAATAATTTGGACACAGCAGAAATTGCTAAACAAACATACCCCAGTTATCTTCCTCCGTCCAGCATCAGGCTAGCAGCAAGGAGCCTCTCCTGATTTTTCTGCTGCTCTGGGAGGGCTCTCCCAAGTCCCAGGTGAAACTGCTCAGCATTTCTTGCTCTGATCACTTAGCAACAGAGATTAAGTGTCCTTACTAATGGTGCTGCCTGCTGAGTGCTGAAGCATTAGAGCTGCCCCCAGGTTTTGTGTTCCAAGTTTCTTCAGAAATATCCAATTGACTTTCTTTCTTTTTTTTAATGAAAACTAAGAGGCAGGGGTACTTGCTGACCTAGGGCCCTAAATCCTGCCACTTCTACCCACCTGTCAGCAGTCCTGATTAGAAATGCCAGCTCCTTAGGAAAAGGTCAGTTCTGAGGCTGAAAACACTGTCATTAGAGCAATTCATATCCTGCTTAATAGCAAAAAAAAGTCTATAAAAGCTACCAAGCCTCAAAAAACCTCTGACTGGCCTGACTGCAAAAAATGAAAATAAAAATCACAATATCATCATCATCATGAAATAAAAATAGTATTTTCATTTACAAGGCTTTCCTTCCACGGTTGACTAGTGAGTAGCACAGCAGTGGGGCAGATGATGTGCAAGGTTACTTGCCAGCTTTCATTTATTACAAGACCCGTTTCACTTCACCTCTCCCATACTTGAGCAAAATTAATTGTTACCTTGGCATGATCAATGCGACTTGAAAGCTCTTTTGAAGCAAATCCGCCGAAAATGAGACTATGTATAGCTCCTATTCTTGCACACGCCAGCATTGTGTACATCGTCTGTGGAATCATTGGCATGTAGATGACAACACGGTCTCCCTTCTTCACACCGTGGCTCCTCATGACACCAGCTAGCTTGGAAACCTGAGCAGGCAACAGTTTATGGAGGTTACTCACATAGCACTAGCACCAGATTCCAGGGGGGCTTCAACACAATGGTGCCGATGGAACCCCATCCCCTACGTGCTTTATCCCCTTAATGTAGCCACACTTTGCTCTTCTTCTGCCATTGCTGTCACAGCAACAGCACCACTTACCAACCTGCAAACTGCGCCAGTGAGTGATGTTTTAGCAGCAGGTAGGCAGCGGTGACACTTTGGAATGAAAGACAACCTCTACTGCAAACCACAGGTGCTGGCTGCCATTTCATTTCCCCAAGATGTAATGCCTCTGGACCCACAGATCCATGGATTCTATAGATTTGCATTTTGGGTGAATTAAAATGGCAGGTGACCACCACCAATTGAAGCTTGCTTGGTTCCTATTCTAAAGCGGCGCCACTGCCCACCCACTGCTAAACTGGCTGCCCAAGGCTTTGGTGAGGAGAATGAGGGGACTCCTTAGCCACAGAGGCCCTTGGTCAGTGCCTAACTGCTGGCGCAAGGCCTGTATTCACATGATGTGTTCTATGAGAGTGTCATGGGCTGGTATCCCACATTGGGGAAAATATTCCTCCATTTCAGGGACTTCGACTAGATGTTCCACATGATCCCTTCCAACTCTATGACTCTGTGACTGTTCTTTTATTAAAACAACCAGAATGTGGCTATCCCCCTAAAACAATTTATGGAAAAACATTCAAGATCAATAACGTTTCACTCTTAAGAGAAGACAATGCTGCATAAATCTACCACAAGCAATTAGTAAAGCATGCTAATTCAGTATATACCACTTGAGACGACACAATCAAAAACTGAGGCAAGGTATGGGAGGAAACGAAGATTTGCATCAGTTAACTTGGGATAAACAAGAAATTAAAAGTTGGTATTCCTTTATTCCGTAAAGACAAACCACAACCAAAAGTAAGCTCTAATCAAAATGCTATTAGTAAAAGGTGCTTTAGAAACACACGAATAAATTTCACTCATGAGCTACTCCATTTTATTAGAAATGTGTGCCGTATAACATTTAATTATCATGTTTGGCAAGTTGCACTTTTTAGCAAGTAAGATAAAGCTATATTAAATAAACCCAGATAGGCATGTGCCCCGAGTACAAGGTCTGCCTTTCATAATATTTATGAGACTCTATCAAATCCTGCCAACGTCACATGAGCCCCTCATTTCAAACTAGTTACTTGGCTCCATGTTTCCCACCCCCAATTTCATACTAGTTCTAGCCAAATAAATCTAATAGGACAATAAGTGCACCCTTTCTGAAATCAAGCCATTTGGGCGTCATGCTAAATCATAGTTTAGCATGATAAGAATGAGCCACACCAAGAGAGATACAGGGAAAGGCTGTGGCTCAGTGGTAAAGCATCTGCTTTTCATGCAAAAAGTCCTGGGTTCAATCCTCACCATCTCCAGTTAAAGCTGCCCCTTGCCTGAAACCCTGGAGAGCTGCTGCCAGTCAGTGTAGACAATACTGAGTTGGGGAGACAGAGGGTCTGACTGTGTAAAGCAGCTTCTCCTCCTCCTAAATATAAAGGTGCAGGAAATTCAATTTCAATTAAACGGTATACATGTGGCAGGTATCAATGCAGCCACTAGGATCACAGTTAATGCAAACCGTGGTTCATAAACCATTTGGTGGAAGCTAAGCAAGCCAAAGTAAGTTGTAACAGGCATATGCAAAGAATCGCCCACAAAGGAAGTAAATTAATTGTGATTTTAACCTCCCATCTAGTTGGAAGATTCAAAAAGCAGATGTTGTTCAGCTAAAGCAGGAAAGCTTTGCAGATCAAGATGCTGAAAGTGAGAGGCAGGGTGCTAATGGAGTTCTGGAAAATGCAAGGGGTAGCACTTTTGCTGTGAAAATCTAGTCTGCAACAACCATTTCTGACTCCAGCCTAATTATGCGTTTTCTTGCTTCCTATGCAGCTTTTTTCCAACTGAGTTGTGATCTGTAAGAAATGCACTCTAGCAAAAAAAAAGTGTTGTTGTTTTTAAGACTATAGTGCTTCTTATACAGAATATGATTGTTGTCATTATAGAGGAGGACCCGTGAGTAAAGGAGATGCAAGAAATTTTGGATGGACAGCAGCCCAATTGGAAGTTGACATACCGTATATGCATATCAGTTTTGAAAAGAGTGCATGTGGTAACATTGCTATATTTGCAGCTTTCCTGCTTTTTTTGTACTGCTCATTGTGCACTGACCCCTTATTTTAGCTCCAGTTTGTGTCTCAAGACACTGAGGAGAAGAGTCTCAATAACCAGGGGTGGGAAATGGTTTCAGGGTGAAAGGCCTGAAGCCCAATCCATAGCTCTGCAGCTTTTGTCACTGGCGTAATAGAAACACTACGTAGAAGAAATGATAGCATTTCTGAAATACTGGTTCTGTCAGGCACATGTATAGCAAACTGGTGATCCAGTGGTGCTTTGTGCTTATGTTACAAACCATCAAAACAGGTCCATTCAATTATGGGAGGCAGCAATTTTGCACACGTTCAGGAAGAGGGTAGAACAAACTGGGGGGGGGGGCTAACAGGATGGGGCGGGTTTAAGTGCACTCCGCTGACAAGCATGGTGAGACTAGTTTGATTAAATTGTATAATTTGACATTGGAACAATTGGCATTAATAATTGTATTCATTGGTTAAAAATGGTATTGTTATAATGAGGCTGCTATTGGAATGATACATATTGGAAAATCAATAGAAATGTATTTTTTAAAAAAAGAAAAAGTGGTTTCTATAGGCTGAAAATGTGTATTTTATTTATGTTGAAAAGGAGATCAGGAAAAAGAGAGAAGAAATAAAATGATTTCCTCCCCCAGAAAGGTTTGTTGTTTAAGAAGGGTATTTTAAAACACACTTTTGTCGAGTAATGCTATTTAACGTGATCTCTTCCTCTCTTTTTGTAATTTTCAAGGTAATTTTCAACACACAAAAGAGTTGACGCAATGCCATGCTTTGACAACTAACCTTTAAATCCTTTCTTGGCTGCCAATCCCTAAGGATCATGTAATTACAAAGGAAAAGGCTTCCTCATGTCACCTTACTAACTTAGGAAGTGCTGCAGTCAATTTGCAGCTGTAAAACATCTCTTTCCACAAAACCTAAATTAGAAAAAAACCAACCATAAACATTCTATGCAGCTCAGAATGCTGTGGACAGCTGAAGTAAACAAGACGGCTGTTGTTTTAAATGAATAATACCAGCACAATTTCAGAGCTGAGCATAACCTGAAATGAAATTGTATAGACTGACTAGCATATTTTATAAATAATCCACCCCTTTACATTATGCTGGTCAAAGATTTATCATAACAACAAAGACAGAAGAGCAAAACAAGCCGTCTAACTGTAATTTATTGGTTGATTTAAGATTTCTTCATCTCACTTTCCATTAGCGAAGTGGCACCTGAGACAGTACCGAACATCTTCATCTTCATCGTGACAGAACAATGATATGGTGGTGGTGGGAGATTTTGTTACAAAGCTGCTGCCTCTCCCTAAACCTTGCTGGATCACTGTAGCAGGGCAAGAGGTGAGGGTGCCTTTACTTTTTTATAGGGGGAAAAGTGTCATTGGGGGGGGACTGAGGACAGTGGTACCTTGGTTCTCAAACTTAATCCATTCCAGAATTCCGTTCCAAAACCAAAGCATTCCAAAACCAAGGCGTGCTTTCCCATAGAAAATAATGTAAAATGGATTAATCCAGACTTTTAAAAACAACCCCTAAACAGCAATTTAACATGAATTTTACCATCTAACAAGACCATTGATCCATAAAATGAAAGCAATCAACAATTTACTGCAGTCACACAATCAATCAATCAATCAATCAATCAGTAGCTGAACTGGATTCCACACAGTCACAAAAACAAAACAAAAAGAGCCACAAAAATGCAAAATAAATAGCAAAAACAGACAGACCTCAGAGTAACACTCAAAACAGAAGTGTGGCACTCAAAACGGAGCACATTCGGCTTCTGAGAAAAGTTTGCAAACCAGAACACTTACTTCCAGGTTTGCAGTGTTTGGGTTCCAAGTTGTTTGAGTACCAAGGCGTTTGAGAACCAAGGTACCACTGTACTGGATGGCTCCTTTGGGGGAGTGTTGGGAGAATGAGGGAGCACAGAATCCTGTGGATCTTTGAATATCCCTGGAACGTGCCTTGATTCACTCCCAGAATGCCATTCACTCCACCACAGCTGGCAAAACACTGCCAGTGGGACATCCATGTCATTGAGCGGCCTTCCTGGGGGTTTTCAGCAGTGCAGGTGTCATCCTGCCAGATGAGCTCCCTCTCTACCAGCAGAACAGCACTTATACTGCACCCAATGGCCCTTCAGCTAGCCTTTAGCCAGCTTTAAGATTGTACCGCTATTATTGTTTAAAATATTAATAATTGCAGTTAAAACTGAGGCAACAAAATACCCATGAAAACCAGTAGGCTACAAAGAATCAACTCAAATCATCAAAACCCATCACTGAATGCCCTTATTATCAGGTTTTAAGCAACCTTAAAAAGTAACAGGTGAATGGTGGATAAAATGACCATCCCAAAGCACAGGTATCTCCAAAAAGAAGGTACAAAGGAAGGTGCCTTATACCGAATCAGACAATTGGTTCATCTAGCTCAGTATAGATGGCTGGCATTGGCTGTCCAGGGCTTCAGTCTGGGTCATCTCCCACCCTGACTGAATCTGGAACCTGGTGCTCTCAACCCAGATGTTTTGTCCCCTATGCTAGGGCCCTTCCACTAAGTTCTTGCCCTCACAATATTTTATTTTTGTAAAAACCCAGGACACAGAGCAGTGTGCCCTCTATGGATCTAGGCTTAGGCAGTACCTCTTCTCACTCCCTAATAAGGTATTCCCAACCTCCAGATCATGTAAGGCTGAATTAGCACTGTTGAATACAAATTCATATGCAAATATGAGAGTGACGAAATAGCAAATAGCTATGGAATATAGGTTTCGTTACACTGCCTCAAATCCAGCACTGCACCAAACAGGTTTTTGCTAAGGTTTCGTCTGAGGGTTGTATGCAATGATGGGAGCGCAGAGCTTATCTCAAAAGGTCATTCTTCTCCTCTTCCCACTCACCACCACCACCCCCCCAAAAAAAATCTGCTCCAGAGTTCCCCCAACCCTCTGGAATTGAATTTGAAAGCACTTGGAGAGCTGGAGGGGGTAGGAGAGGAAGTTCAACTGTGTCCACAATGTATGAGCAGAACAGCATATAACTTATTGTAGGGGTTTGCACCAGATGACCCTTGCAATTCTGATTTTATCATAAGCCTATACTTTTTCTATTGATCAACGAACAGGAGCCAGAAAATATTGTTTGAAGAGAGTTTGCACTCCAGTTTTCCGCTATCTGTGATATGTTTTGTCTGACAAACTAAGCACACTGCCACTGCTCCACCAAGAGGTCACTGCCGCGGGAAAGTACAGAGCTGGTGGGAAATGAAAGCCAACAAGCAGCTCTGAACCATGATTCACCTTTACATTTGGCTTGATGACAAAACTGAATCGCTCTCAGAGTGCAAGGATTACCTAGAGCAAGTGTGCTGAAGAAAATAAATGATACAATAATAACTCGGACAGATTGCAATACAAGTTGTGCTATCAGAAATGTGCAATTGAACATTTGCCAGAGCCGCAGCTACTTCTATAACTCTTGCCCTCTTTCTTTAAAATAGTTTTTACTTAGTTGCGTAGGGCAAAGCGTATACAATTGTATCAATATATCAGAAAGACAAGCCTAGGGCAAATTTAACGGCCTGAGCAGAAGCTGTGCAAGCAAATTTGCTTTGGGAAGCTAAGGCCAGGATCCAAACATCTAGTTTAGATGCATCACAGATTCGCAGAATCATACAGTTGGAAGCGACCCAAAGGGTCTGTCTAGTTCAACCCACTGCAATGCTGGAGTCACAGTTAAAGGCTCAGGCGTGCTTATTTCCCCACATAGTTTCTCCCCATACCATGTCACAAATCTCTTTTGATTTGACTCTCATGCATTGCATGATGGGAAGGAGCATAAAACCTTTAAGAAAAGAAAATCAAAAGCCTTCTTGGGTGCACACAACTGGTTCTGGGGTTCTCTGCATCCTATTGGAAACATGTCTCAACTGAAGCAATAGTATGTCAAGCGGTTTCATACACGGAGTGGAAATATTTTCATAATATGTTTTTAATTTGCTTATCATATCCTAGAATCATAGCTGGAAGGGACCATGAGGGGCATCTACAGTATTACAACCCCGTGCAATGCAGGAATCCTGCCCACAGCCAATCCTAGGTGGATCACAGGGTGGTTTACAATATAAAAACACAAAAATACACAACACAGTAAGAAACAAATCCAATAAACCTACCCGCCCGCCCAGTTTAAGCAATAGATTGCTTAATTAGCAATGTCCTGGGAAAAGAGGAATATTTTTGCCTAGAACCTAAAGATAGGTAACCAAGGCACCAGGTGAGCCTCCCTGTAATATATGTAAAGTTTACATAAAAAGGGATAAAGCTTTCAAGGACAGACTATTCCATCAAGCCTAGGCATATGCACACACAGAAAGCAGAACCCAGCTTTCTGGTTTGATCTGCATACATATGGCTGTTCTGTATAACATACAAACATCATTTGTCCTATAGAAACCTTTGTGTACAAGCTAGGTTTATGCTTTAGTGACCCGTCAGTGTAAACCAATTACAAAAATCTCTTCTTGTGTGCTTAAACTCGATCAACTTAATTAATGATAATCTCCTACCAGTCCTTTCAATTGTTGACTAATCATATGTCGTACAGTTGGTGTCCATGTACACTCATACATTAAATGGAAAGGCGATATGGTTGTTCTGTTTGCTGAATTAGATGAACCAGGGCAGCAGATGATTAAGAAATAGCAGAAAGACAAGAGGTTTGTTGCTAGAATAAGATTAGTTATCAACATCAGTTGATGTTATCAGTTAACATCTTGGAAGTCTGCTTGTTTTCCACAATCATGCAGTATATAAATTTTATGAAATATATATACACGCAGCAAGGTAAATGAACAGAAAAAAGTGTTTCCTGTATTTGAAGTTTTACAACCATGTTATAATAATTTTGTTCAATTTCATTTGGCTGTCTTGCTCGCCAAAAAAAAAAATCCATTAAACACACCTGTTCAAGAAGTTCTTTGTAAGTTATAAACTCTTTAGCATTTGTTACAGGACTGTCATGGATGATAGCAATCTGGTCCCCTTGTCCATTCTTGACATGGCGATCTATAGCATTATAACAAATATTCAGCTCTCCACCAACAAACCTAGAGAGGAAAGAAGAATGAAAACCGCTGGGTTAAAAAAATAAATCTTGCCAAACGAGAATTAGTACCTTGTTCTTTGCCTCAGGCAGCAAAATACTATGTGCCAACCCTACCACTAACCATCCAACCTCTTGACCTTCCTTCCCAACATTCCTTGCATTACTTTATATTATATGTATGGCGTTGCAAACTAGCCAGAAACAAAATGTCCTAATACATTTATGGGACCTTAGCAGGTTTCTGACCTGCAGAAATCAGCAAATGAAGCTTTGTATGGCATGGAGATAAGGATTATCGCAATAGCCTATATAGATATGTCTATATCTATTTTAGAACCTGAGCAAAGAAAGCCACAGTATTAATCATAATCTTGTAGTACATGCCATTTTTTGCACAAAACTTCCTTATTAACTATTATGGTTTCTAGAATATAATGACTCCGCCTAAGAATATATAGATGCTAATTTTACAACATCCAAGTCATTATCTTCTTCTCACACGATTAAAAACATCATTATCCCTGTAGGTATGATGCTATGTGTACATACAGAGCAGTTCTTCTGAAACTCTATCTTCCAGAATAAATTATAAGTTTTTCCCATCTCTTAAGGCCAGTATACACAATACTATTGTTGTACACTTAATAATCACATGCATGTGGATGTATGTACACCATGGAATGGCAGTTAGCAATTCTTTGATCGAGGCAGCAGTATTTTTTTCAGCTTTGTGAACTCAGCAATTGCAGACAATATTACCTGAATATGTGCATCTATCAACATTCTGAAGAATGGGGAAACTACAGAGATATGTAATATCAACAACTAAAGTATTGTGTGGATCACCTCTTAATGAAATTGAAATGAAATGAAAATGAAATATTTTTTGTCAGGTCATAATACCAAGCAAAATGACCAGCAGGCTATAAGAACATAGCCATTCCAACCCAAGTCCTTCCAGTAAGGACAAAGTTCCACTGTAGTTTGAATATTAGTTCAAGTTAAACATTGTGCAGTTCTGTCCTTGACCACATTCGGTAAGGTCAAAACATTAGGACAGTTCTTTTTATCAGCTATGGCAAGTCCAGAAATGGATGTAAGATGGACTAGAATTCATCTGCACTGGCCAGTTTTCAGGAATCTCATATGCACTGAAATGTGCACCTGAATACTACTAGTGCCTGCAAATTAGCCTCTGCCAATTCCTCACCCCACTCACAGAAGCCCACATGAATAACCTGCCCAACTGGAGGTATAACATCAGTGCAGGATTCTCCTGCGTCACATCATTCCTAATTTGAGAAGCTATCTCCATACGGTATCCCCAATGCACTAAAGTGGATGGGAAGTCCAAATGTCTCTGTACTACCCTTGAAATGGCAGGGGGGGCAATACAAGATGGAGTTACAGTGGTTACCTCGGGTTAAGTACTTAATTCGTTCCGGAGGTCCGTTCTTAACCTGAAACTGTTCTTAACCTGAAGCACCACTTTAGCTAATGGGGCCTCCTGCTGCTGCCGCGCCTCTGGAGCACAATTTCTGTTCTCAACCTGAAGCAAAGTTCTTAACCTGAAGCACTATTTCTGGGTTAGCGGAGTCTGTAACCTGAAGCATATGTAACCTTAAGCGTATGTAACCTGAGGTACCACTGTATATAGAAACTTATCTGCAGTGCTCTAAAGATAATTTTACCATTGCTTGCTGCTGCAGATCCTACAACATTAACTCAAGAACCAGTTTAGATATTTCTTACCCCCCCCCCTTGCAAATCACAAGATGTGGCTCATGTTGCATGGGGAGTAGTGGGAGATTCTGGACAGACAAGAGGAAGTGCTTCACCCACAGCACACAGTTCAACAATGGAATTTACAATGACTTGGCTATATTTTTGATAATGGTTGCTCATCAGGTGATTAGTAAACACTGGGAAACTGGCCTAGGGTTAACATTATCCAGGTGGTACATAAGGATCTGGCAAACTGCTTTAGCTGAAACGTTAACAGGAAGCCCGAAGGATATGAAAGGTTAAAAATATGACTTTGACACAGTTTGGTTTTATTTCATTTTTATGAGACTTTTATTAAAGTTAATCATAGTACAAGATGATATGTAAAACTAATCTAAATTTTAAAAAATGCAAATAGAATAATAGAATACAGAGTCCTCTCTTAAAGGTGATTCTTGACCCTTACTATCCACAGAAGGTAGTAGCCCTTCCAGCTTTCACCTGGAATCTTTCCTTCCTCCTCCCAGCCTCTCACCCTGGGAGACCAAAATTTCCCTGCCTCCCATTCCAGCTCTTCCCTCAACTACAGTGATGAACACCAATTTAGATGGGTTTATAATGGCAGTAATGTGCTATCTCCATGATTAGAGGCCGTATGTCTCTTAATATCAGTTGCTATGAAACTGAAGAAGGAGAGGCCTACTGCCCTCATGTTGTTCTTGTAGAGGCAACTAATTGGCTGGCAACTGTGGGAAACAGGATCTTAGTTGAAAGAGGCCTTTTGTGTCATCCAACAGGTTAGTAATAATATATTTCTGGCAGTGGTGCTGGAATACAAATGCTCCTTTTCTGTGCACATCAGACGGTGCTTATAAATATTATACAGCATTGTAATGAGTAACAAACAAATGCCAGGTGCATAATCCAATGGCTGTGCTTGTGACATTTCTAGCACACATTAAAAACAAAACAGAACGCCCAAGTCCAACAGAATAATCTTCATGGATCTTTAAAAAAAAATCTAAATGTCTGCAAAGTCCAACAGTTCTTTTTTCATAAAAACAATCCAAGATGCTCACAACACAGCAAAACCAGAAATTATAGATAAAGCCCAAATCTGGCAACAGACAGGAAGGGTTTTGGTTTTTTCCTTAACCTGGTGTGTGTGTTCATGCATGCATGTGTAAAAGAGATAAAGAAATCTATAAGCAAGCGGTGCTATGCAGCAAGAACTAGCTAATGTGATCTGCACAGAAACAACAGAATTAGGAAGCATCATTGTTTTAAACAAAAGCAAACAACACGATCCAGAAGGAATTGTCAGCTGGTATAGTAGCGCAACACTTCAGGCCATTTTTTTGGCACAAAGAGGACAGATCAGTGTGATTTTTCATTCTAAGCACTAGCAGGGCTTTTGTTGCACTGCCCACTGTGATCCAAGCCAATTTTGCTTGTGTTCCTTTTACCCACAAGAATTCTTAAGTACACACTCAGTATCATATTGCAGAACTAGCTGGAACATATCCAAGGGAAAGCATATTATTGTTCAGAGGTGCTTTCCTTTCACAAGAGATTAAAGGAAAATAAATACAGAAGAAAAAGGATAATCTTACATAAATCATATGAGAGATAGTTCTCTGTTTAAGTACCTGATTGTATATATTAGTAGTGGTTTATGGAACACAGGAAACTGAGTTTATTGTCTACAGTGACTAGCAGTAGTGAGGGTTTCAGACAGGGGACATTCCCAGCTCTACCTGAAGATATTGAGGATTCAACCTGGATCGATCTACTGCATGCAAAGCAGAAGCTCTACCACTACATGGGAATATATATATATATATATATATATGCAGGTTTTGGTGTCCTCGGGTGTCTTCCCGTGTAAAAGTTGGGGTGTCTAGGCGACGTTTCGACGAGGTCTCACTCGTCATCTTCAGGCTGGTGCTTTCGGCTTCTTGTTACTGGAACAGAGCAGGATCTCAGTGTTTGAGTTCCTATAAATACTGTTGAGGGGGTGTGGTGTATAGCCTCCAATGTTCTGGGCAGAGAGGAAGTTCCCAGGTTAGTGTGCCTTTTCTTCTTTTGTTCCTTAATTACTTGAGGGATATCTTGAGTGATTTCTTGAGTGATATCCTGAGTACCACTTAGGTGGGTCATTAGGTGTGGATTAGTTGCTAAAGCCTTCGTGTCTTGACCTCTTGAACTTTGTGAAGAGTTTTTCTGAGAAGATGGCTGTACTGCAATTAGTTGTGCTCTGGCTTGGCTTCGTGTATAGGGGCGAGCTGTGGTTTTGTGTCCTGTGCCAGCCAGATCTGTGTAGGGATTGCAGGGGGGTGCAGCATCCGGAGGTGCCACCATGGTTTGGCTACTGGATGGTGTCTGTAATTTATCTGTGGAGAGGGTCTGGGTTTGGGTCTGGTGTGGTTGATTGGTGATGGCGTTCTGTGTGCCTCTGGATCTGGTGTCGGTTTTTGTGGGGAGGGCTAATTTCCAGATGTCTGGCAGGCGGGATGTGTCGTCACGCTTGTTCATGTTGTGAGGGTGTTTCTCTATCTAAACATTGTGAGGGTGTTTCTCTATCTAAACATTGCTTGTTCATGTTGTGAGGGTGTTTCTCTATCTAAATAGAGAAACACCCTCACAACATGAACAAGCGTGACGACACATCCCGCCTGCCAGACATCTGGAAATTAGCCCTCCCCACAAAAACCGACACCAGATCCAGAGGCACACAGAACGCCATCACCAATCAACCACACCAGACCCAAACCCAGACCCTCTCCACAGATAAATTACAGACACCATCCAGTAGCCAAACCATGGTGGCACCTCCGGATGCTGCACCCCCCTGCAATCCCTACACAGATCTGGCTGGCACAGGACACAAAACCACAGCTCGCCCCTATACACGAAGCCAAGCCAGAGCACAACTAATTGCAGTACAGCCATCTTCTCAGAAAAACTCTTCACAAAGTTCAAGAGGTCAAGACACGAAGGCTTTAGCAACTAATCCACACCTAATGACCCACCTAAGTGGTACTCAGGATATCACTCAAGAAATCACTCAAGATATCCCTCAAGTAATTAAGGAACAAAAGAAGAAAAGGCACACTAACCTGGGAACTTCCTCTCTGCCCAGAACATTGGAGGCTATACACCACACCCCCTCAACAGTATTTATAGGAACTCAAACACTGAGATCCTGCTCTGTTCCAGTAACAAGAAGCCGAAAGCACCAGCCTGAAGATGACGAGTGAGACCTCGTCGAAACGTCGCCTAGACACCCCAACTTTTACACGGGAAGACACCCGAGGACACCAAAACCTGCATTCCTGTACCCGTGAAAATCTACGAAAGCATATATATATATATATATATATATCTTGAGTGATTCCTCTCTGCCCAGAACATTGGAGGCTGTACGCCACACCTCCTCAACAGTGTTTGTAGGAACTCAAACACTGAGATCCTGCTCTGTTCCAGTAACAAGAAGCCGAAAGCACCAGCCTGAAGATGACGAGTGAGACCTCGTCGAAACGTCGCCTAGACACCCCAACTTTTACACGGGAAGACACCCGAGGACACCAAAACCTGCATATATATATATATATATATATGGGATTCAAGACAGCCTACGAGCCATGTTCTGTAGTCTCAGATGCACGTGGGCCAGCCAAAATCTGACAAGTCACTGCTGCTCTTAAATTGTCCAAGCAAAATGGCATATCTTAACCCGGCACCAAAATGAGAAAAAATGCTGAACTTAGATATAACTCAGTCAGTGAAGCATGAGACTCTTAATATCATGTTCATGGGTTTGAGCTCCACGTTGGGCAAAAAATTCCTGAGGTGCAGGGGGGATTGGACTAGATGATTCCTGTGGAATCATCTAGTCCAACTCTACAATTCCGTGATTCTAAGGCGAGGGTATTACACAGCCAGAACACCACTGTAGAAAAGGCTCTCTCCGGTGCCACCACATAGCAGATTTCCCTGGATGATGGAAATCTGCTTGAGTGTCATCAGAATACTCACTCCAAATTCTCTGTGGCCTCATGGAGCTGTTACAGAGCATAGAGCAGTGTTTCCCAACCTTTTTTGGGCAAAGGCACACTTGTTTCATGAAAAAAATCTCGAGGCACACCACCATTACAGCCCCGTGGCGTCAGCGCGCAGCGTCACGCCGGGAGGGACGCACGAAAGTGTAAGATTCAATTTTTTCCCCTCCCCCTTGCCTTCCTTCTGTGCCAACCGCCAAAAAGCCAAGAATCGCGGGACCGCCGGCGGAGGGGGGAGGGCAAGCGGAGGCAGCGGCGAGCCCCGTTCCTCCCCATCCGCCCCATTCCGTGCAAGGAGCGCGGACAGGTGTGAGAAGGGGGTCAAACCTGCGGGTCGGCGCCGGGGAACCTCCAAGCTTTGGGGGTGGGGGGGAGGAGGCAGCAAAGCGAGGCAGGAAGGAGAGCGCGGCTTGGCGAAGTACTCGGCGGCGAAGGCCAGCAGGTCCGGCGGCCGGTGCCGCAGCACCTCCACCGTGTAGCCCTGCAGCAGCTCAGTCAGACCCGGCGGGATCTCGATGCTCATCTTGTAGCTGAGGCGCGCGGGAGACTCAACGGATGGGCCCGGGAGAGAGAGAGAGAGAGAGAGACACGACGGAGAGAGAGCGGGAGTCCCTGCTCGCCGTCGCCACCGCTACAACTACTGTGGCGGTTGGTCGTGGTCGCCGCCGCCGCCCACCTCTATCTATCTCTCCCCCTCAGCTTTCTACGCGGGCCTCGAGCCGGAGGTGGGGGGTGGCCGCCGCCGCTTTCTCCGCCTCCACGTCCTGCCTCCTCCTCCTCGAGCCCTCCGTCAGCCCTGAGGGAACCGCCGCGCTCGCGCCGCCGCTCTCTGACACGCGAGAAAGAGAAAGGAACGGAGCGGCGGGGTAGTCGGGGGAAGGAGGGGCCGGAATGGAAGCGCGAGGCGAGCTGCGCATGCCCAGCAGGAAGCGGCGGAGAACGCCACAGAGAGAGAGAGAGAAGCAAGGGAGGGCGGGGAGTGGGCGGGAACACGCTTCATGCGTCACAATAACGAACAAGAGGCGCTCGAGGGATAGATTAGGACCTAATTTGACTTTTTTAAAAAAAAAAAAAAATCTTTCGAATTTTCCCCACGGCACACCAGGCAACATCTCGCGGCACACTAGTGTGCCGCGGAACAGTGGTTGGGAAACACTGGCATAGAGGACAAGATGGAACCCCATAACACAAGCACCACAGGCCCAAGCAGAAATCCTCCCATGTCAATTCTGAAATTAACCCTATGGGTAGAAGCAGAACCATCACATCAACATGCTCTCAACTCCCATCCCACTCCCATCCAGGCAGGTACAATGGTTGATGCTGCCAAAAGCTGCTGGGAGATCAAGGAGAATCAAGAGGGTCACACTCCCCCTGTCCCTCTCCCATCCAAGGACATCCATCAGGGTGACCAAAATTGTAACAGGGCCAAAACCGGGCCTAAATCCAGATTGCATGGGTCCTGATAATCGGATTCCTCCAACTGCACCTGGAAATGAACCGGCCCCACCATCTCAATCACCTGGTCCAAAGAGGCATATTAACAGCCAGGTGATAGTCATTATAATCTCCTCTGTTCAAAAGGGACTTTTTAAGGAGCGGCTGGGTCAGTGTGGTGGGCACCCCTCTTTCCTGGCGGTAAGCATTTGCTGTCTCTAGGACCCACCCAGCAAATCCCTTCTAGCTAGCACTTAATAGGATGAGCAAGAGTTGGTTGCCCAAAGCCTTGCTAGCTTTATTTCAATGTGCCTTTTGCAGCAGTTTGCTAGGCAAAACTTCAACAGGTGACGCACTTTCTCCCAGAAACGGGAGGTGAAATGATGCACAGAACAGGAGAGTTGGAAGGCGTCTCATGGGTCCTCTAATCCAACCCAGCACCGATGCAAGAAACCCGCGACTACAGCACAGCACCGGTTGAGTTTCTGCCTGTCCCTGAGGTGGAGCCCAGCGAGGGTTTGGTCCAGCCACTCACCAGGAGGTGCTATAGGGATATCTCCTCTGCATGGTTTGAGCCCAGGGCTTGTGCCAGTCGATGCCCTGAGCCGCTTCAGCCCAGTGTTTCTCGGGCTCCTCCACCGACGCCCTGAAAACCGCCTCATAGTCGCCTCCAGGAGCTGCTGGCCGCGAGGACAACGAGCGGCTGAGCGGGAGAAGGAGCCGGGCTGCAGGCTGGCGCCTCGTCCAGCAACTCGGGAAAGCGAGCGGAGGGACGCGCCGGAGTCCCACCTGCGGAGCCCAGAGAAGGCCTCGCGCGCTGCGAGCAACTGGGTGCAGCCAGACTCTCCGGCACTGCTGGGCGCTCATGGTTCCCTGGCCGCCCCGAGGCGAAACTGCAAAAAGAACCCCCAAACTCGAGCGCCCTGAACTACACACTTGTGGAGCCGGGGAATCTTATTAATTCCCTTTTCACAAAGTCAGCAGGAAGAGCCGAGCTGGATTCAGGACCAAAGATTAGGACCTGCTCCTCCTTCCACCCACTTTGGTGTTTACAAACGACCAGTTTGCAAGAGCTCCAGTCCGGGCTTTGGTGTCGGCTCCCAAGCCCGCAGTTTGTTTTGTAGCGAGGAGGCCCTCTGGGATTTGCTTAGGTTGCATAATATCGCCCACCGACCTCTGGGGCTCAGGATACTCTGCCAACTTTCCCTCTTTTATTACTGCTCCAAGTTTGCTAAGTGCCTGGAAGTAAGTGGACGCGGTTTAGGATAGTGCGCTGCTTCTCCCTCACTTCGTAGATTCAGGAATTCGCCTTTCTTCTTCAAGATCCTTTTTAAAATCATGGCAATCTGCTCTCAGAGGCAACGGCGTATTTAAAACTCGCCCAGCAATACAGCATTTCTTTCCTGATTTGTTCCATTCTCTACAAACGGCAGTTTTCCATTACCTTGAAAACAATTTTCATTCCTGTCCACTTCCAACAAGTGCACTTCATTTTAAAATAATAAGCTATATTAAAACCGTATTCCATCATTAAAAAAAAACCTATTACAATTTATCTTCATTATCAACCTTTATCGAGGGAGAATAAGAGAGGATTAGGTTGATATGGAGACACCACAACAGGCCATATATTTTATCCAGACAAGGGATGCATTTGACATTTTGAATAAAATTAGATTTGCCAGATAAAGGCATTTCAGACACACCAGTTTCAGAGAGATCTCACCATGGAGGGATTCCATGAACTCACCACGGACTCTTGCTGTGTGTGAGAAGATGTGTGGATCCACTCACAGAGAAGGATGTTACTATTATACAGTATTTCCTAATTTAGGAGTGCACCAAGCCAAAGAAGTCATAAAGGACTGGGAGATAAACAGTGCCAGATAAACAGTACCTTTAGAGGCACTAAGCAATGCTGTTATTAATAATAATTATTATATTATTTATTTATCCATCCATCCATCCCACCCATCTGGCTGGGTTTTCCCAGCCACTTTGGGTGGCTCCCAACAGAATATGAAAAACACGATAAAACATCGAACATTAAAAATGTCCCTAAACAGGGCTGCCTTTAATTCAATGCAGAATAGTACCAACCCTAAAATAAAAATTTGAAATAAAACAGATTTATTGCAACACATGACAGGATCTGATTTCCTCGCATTGTTCCCATCTACATCTGTAGAATGCCTTGTGGTTTATGCTGGGATAATTAATAAGAGAACAGAAAAAATGGGGGAAGAGTATGGAGTGTAAGGAAGTCTTAACAAAGTTCTGATTGTTCCCATGAAAACTACATCAATGCTCTTTTTAAATATCAAATGTCAAATTCTTTCCCTCCCTCCCCCCCCCCATTTATTTATTTTTTTACTGGTGCCCTAAAGCACATGCTTAGCCTGGCTATTGGGTAATGCAGCAGGGGTGATAAACTTTCACCAATGTGCTGTATCTTTGCAAAGGAGCACTGACCCCAGGGGTAGTCTTTTCGAAACTCACATTTCTCCATGGCGAATACTGAGTATTCCAGGAAGGTAGAAGCATTTCATAACAAGTCCCCAACTGTGACAATCGGCAGGAAAACTTTTCGAACAGGCAAGGTTGCTATGGGAACACCTAAATAAAAACCTGAAAGAACACTGCTGATATGGGTGCTGCTGCACCTTAACCCTTAATGCCCTGTTGCAGGATCAACTGGTGCGTGGTGCTTAATATGAGTGGCTAATAAGCAAAAGAAATTCACTGTGTGTTGCTACAGTACGACGGTGTACATGTCTACTCAGAAGTTAAGTCTCTTTGTGGATAAGAAGGCTTCCTTGCAGGTAAGTGGGCACAGGGTGGCAGCCTAGGGTTGGCATTTGGGAAACAGGGTTCTTGTGCCATTAGAGCTAGGGGCCAGGCAGAAATTCAACAGGTTAGGGTTGACGACTCTAGGGCTGCGGTGCTCATCTTGCTTTACAGGCCAAGGGAGCCGGCGTTTGTCTGCAGACAGTTTTTCTGGGTCATGTGGCCAGCATGACTAAGCTGCTTCTGGCGCAACGGAACACCAAAACCAGAGCAGTGCACAGAAATGCTGTTTACCTTCCCGCCACAGCGGTACCTATTTATCTACTTGCACTTTTGGCATGCTTTCGAGCTGCTAGGTTGGCAGGAGCTGGGACTGAGCAACGGGAGTTCATTCCATCGCGGGGATTCAAACCGCTGAACACTCACAGGTAAGTGGGCACAGGATGGCAGCCTATGGTTGGCCTTTGGGAAACAGGGTTTTTGTTCCCATAGAGCTAGGGGCCAGGCAGAAATTTAACAGGTTATGCCTTTTCTAGTATGGGAATACAATTATGGGTAAAGTTTCCCCATGATTCTAGTCTCTGTTATTTGTTTGTTTACAAAAACATTTATATACCGCTATTTATTTTAAAAAAAATCAGAGCAGTTTGCAACAATTATATGTAAAACCGTACAATAAAAAGCATATAAAAATGTTAAAATCAGAAATCAGCTAACTATTGTGGAAAGATGTATTCTTAACTGGCCATATAAGCCTGATGGAATACAAAAGCTTTCAGCAGGCATGCAAAAGTTGAAACAGAAGGTGTCTGTTGAATCTCTATTGGCAGAATATTCCACAATACTGGGCCTAGTCTGTGTTATGCCCTGCCCACCAAATGGCAGCCATTTTTTGACCAGAGCCACCCCACAGTATTCTTCCATTGCTCCAAAAACATTGGCAATCCCTGGAGTGGACAGTAATGGAGCAAGAAAACCGACCCAATAGTAGTATTGTGTGTTCCAGCCATGGTGAGGTGCGCACTTCAATCTGTGGCCTTACACTAAAGTAAAACATTTCTAAATATTAAAGGTATAATTCAATGCAATTTAGTTATTGCACTTGGAGTCTACTGACAAGGGCATGGAGAATGCTGTTGGGACAGCTCTAGTAGCGTTTTGCTTATGGTACAATGCATACCAAAAAGTCAATATCACCAAACTGTTGATAACATACATCAACCAGTGGTTGCTGGTGGCCATTGGGACTGGTGGAGTGGAAGGCAGGAGGAGAAACAGTAGGTGGAACTACAGCCAAGCACATGCGGAGCCAAGTAATTCTAGTTTTGTCCCCATTCTCCACCCTGCTGAGTTTGACAAGGACAGCACTGAGAGCAAGGTGGAAGAAGCAGACAACCAGGACTGTATGTAAGATAGCAGGGTGGGCTTTGAAAGAATCAAGACAGAGCTTGGCAAAGTAGTGCTCCATTTCCCTAATGAACTGGCCTCCACTGACACCAACCAGAGCCATTTCTACTAAATTCACTCATATCTGAATGTCGGATCTCTCCCACACAGAGCTCTCCCTTCTAGCAAATCTTCATCCACTGGACGGCAATAAAAAATCAACGCATAACCAGCGTCCTCTTTAAGTGATCCCCATCTTTCTTTTGCAGGTGATCACAGCATGGTGCTCAGAAGGCTGCTGTTTCAAGTTGTTTGAGTAACAGCAAACTTAAAGGCAGCAAAATGCAAAGCAACAAAACGCATTTCACAAGCCAATTTGTTTGTTTATTGGATTTATACACTGCCTTCCTGACAATGCACTCAAGGTGGTTTATAAACACTAAAAATAAAATAAAAACACCATTATATAAAGCAAAGACTGACAGAGTCTTCTCATTTCATCTAGCTGTTCCCTGACCTAGGCTCCCTTGCTTATGCCTTCCCTCAGGGCATGCAGGTCTTTAGCAGCCCCCAGCAAAGGTGGGGTCGGGACGTGGGTGGCACTGTGGGTTAAACCACAGAGCCTAGGACTTGCCGATCCAGCGGGAAGGTAAACGGTGTTTCCGTGCGCTGCTCTGGTTCGCCAGAAGCGGCTTAGTCATGCTGGCCACATGACCTGGAAGCTGTACGCCGGCTCCCTCGGCCAGTAAAGCGAGATGAGCGCCACAACCCCAGAGTCGGCCACGACTGGACCTAATGGTCAAGGATCCTTTACCTTAGCAAAGGTGAGAGAGGAACTGCCTCAATTTTGATGCATTTTTGTTATGTTCTAACTCAAAGATATGCTTGATGATTAGTTATGAATGAAACCCTGAGCATGTATGTTCCATTATTGCTAAATGAATTATTACTAAATGAGTAAACTAATCAAAGGAAGTAGTAATTACTATACTACACATAGTAAAGCAAATTAAACTGGAATTTGGGTCTGTTTCCATCGGTGAAGTACACACAACATTAAAAGCAGCAAAGCACAGTTATTTATTTTCTACCATATGTTTAAATGTGTCTGCTTATTACTTCTTTTCCAGTAATGTTCAAATTTACAGATGTGATTGTGCTGGTTTTCTTTCCCCTGAATTCTTTAGGAGGGAACAATGTTTCTCTACAATAAAATTGGTATGGGTGTGTAATGAAGAAACATTCTACGAACTCATTTGAACCTGCAAATGAGTTTGTATAATGTGAATTAATACCACTACACATCATTTCCAATGGCAATTAATTGACAGTATGCTTCTGGGATCTTTTTGGACCTCACATCTATCTGAAAAACAGCAATATTTGCTCCAGTTGTAAATGTTTGTAAATGGAAAGAGTCTACAGCCAGGAGAACCATTCATAGGAAGTACAACAGAAAACACTCAGCATGCTCAGTTGTCACACCTGTATCAATAACTCAAAGATGAATTTGAGAATCACTGGATTGAACTGTATGAAGAATGCACACCTGCAAACCTTATCTAGGTCAAAATGACAGGAGGTTTTTTGTTTTTCTAAATTAAGAGCACAAGCCTGCCAAACATTGAACACATTTCAAACAAATTGTACTTCCTTGTTTCAGATCTGTGCTTCAAGCTCAGCAAATTGGCCACGGATGGTCTGGCTCTGAGCAGCTTGGAAGTCTATCCCCACAGTATTAACACATTGCCAGAGGCAGTATTAGGCTAGTACAACTGGTGCAGCCACACTGGGCCCCATGCTGCAGGAGGCACCAAAACAATGCTGTAGAATGGAGTTCAAGAGGCAGGGGTGCCTATTTTAGTGTCACAAAGGGAGCTGCTAAAATTTGAGAACCCCCCAGTCTGCCACTGACATTGCCAATCCTCAATTTAAACCAATATGACACTTGTGTGATTCATACAGATGTGATAAATACAAGCTTTCATCCTTCGGTTCTGTTATATCCTAAATAATATTGAATAATCTTTTTACTAGAGGCTGTTTAATTCCAAATCAATGTACAGGCAGCTTAAGGCATCATATATCATACATGGTTTGGAAATGTGGGTGAGAGTAGAAGATGGGTTTGGTGGACAGCCAAAAAAGGAGCATGCAATAATGCATTGAAGTTCTTTCTGGGATTCAGGAGTAGCATCAAGATAAAGGGGCTGGTTAGTGAATGTCCCAAAAGGGAGACTGGGATACGCCTGGTCTTGGTTGGGTGGGAGCTGTTCAGTCTTCCTCTGCTAAAGGCAGCCTCTGGTCCTGGGCCCTTGGTGGTGCTTCTCTAAGTCGAGGGGTCCTCTGCAGTGGTCATTCCATTATATAAGCCCTATACTATGAATCACACACATGTTTTATGGGTGATACTATATCATGAGCATTGCAGAATGCACTCTTTTGCATAATTATAACGGGGGATACTTTTTAAAAATGCGGTCTAGAAGTTTTTTGTTTGTATTAGATTTTAATCTAGAGATATATATTTTATTCATTTGTATATTTAAACTATTATTTCTATTGATTATTTCATGTTTTATGGACAATAAGCAAGTTTTGTAGCATTTGTTGTTTCACTTTTCCAGCAATCCATTTTGTTTAATCAATATAGCTCCACTCCCTTGCCATCTGCTTCTCCCCATACCATTCTGTTCAATTCTGGACAGTTTAGAGAGAAATGGGTATTATATGGTGAATATATTGGTTCATATGGCTTCTGTTTCTTTTAATGTTTCCGCAACTTGCTTAAAACCAATTAAAATTGCAAATGAAAAGCTTGGGTTATCCATATGATTAAAAAGAACCATCAAAGTTTCATTCATAGATTAGAGATAGATATAGATAGATGATAGATAGATGATGATAGATAGATAGATAGATGATAGATAGATAGATAGATAGATAGATAGATAGATAGATGATAGATAGATAGATAGATAGATAGAGATAGATAGATAGACAGACAGACAGACAGACAGACAGACAGACAGATGACCCTTTGGGAAGAATTTCACACAAATATATCATAACCCTCAACACTTTTCTCATGAGAGGGTTGAAGGGCCATGCAGCTTAGCCATGTGGCCATTATCAGCATGCCCGGTGTTCCCTCACAATCATGCATTTGGTAGGACCTAGGACACACGCACCCTTCATATGGAGGAGCTCTATGTATGTACATCAATGTAGGGCCCCTTCTCAATGTCCCAAAACATGGACAATGGAGACACATGGTTGCCTGCATAGCAGGGGACAGGACAGGCCTGTACAGCCTTCCAGCTCTTCATGGATTCTCTTCACATATGTGAGGAACATTGTCTTTTCTCTTTCATAGATTTCTGAACCTGGAAATATGGTGGTAGATCATAGAAACTTCAGTCTCTGAAGCAGCAAGGCAGCTTGCAAGCAGAGGAAACAAATGTTATCCAAGTCAGGAGAAGGTGACTTGAGGAGCCAATAGGCCCCTGTCAATATAACTGTTGACTTTGGATTAGCTCCCCTTTCTGAGAAACTTGTTGCTCTGTTCAGCTGAATTGCTTGAAGTACTACTTAGCTACCAGCCTGCCCTGGCAATCCAATTTCTCCTCTTTTCTGAATCTTTGGGGCTAGGCTGCAATAAATACTCAACACGATGAACAAGTACAGCTTATGCAATAATTAAAGAAACTGTTTTTCAAAGACTGTTCTTTTTAGTGCTTTTTCATTATCTCTGACTTTGCTACCTCTCATAATACTTATTTGCATATTTATCCCAGCATTCTGCTTACTCTTTAGATTATTCATGCCTGAGAAAATACTCTGAAGCAGAAAGGGAAAGTTTAATGAGTTTCAAGGGGACATGTCCAGTATGTGTGTATGTAAAATATAGAAACAAATGTCTGAATAGTTACCACAAAATATTTGCTAAAACTCTGCTTTTCAGCTTATTATATGTTCTTTCCATAATGTGATTTTAGGATAGAGCAGTATACTATCATATACTGTAATTTCTGTAAATGCACCCAGATAGACTCTGGAAAATAAAGACATGTTATAACAAAACAAAATAAGGCTGAATTCCTAACTGCACCTACCTGGGAGTAAGCCCCACTTAGTTCAATAGGACTTCCTTGTGAGTAGACATGTTGAGGATAACACTGCAGTGGTACCTTGGGTTACAGACGCTTCAGGTTACAGACACTTCAGGTTACAGACTCCGCTAACCCAGAAATAGTACCTCAGGTTAAGAACTTTGCTTTAGGATGAGAACAGAAATCGTACAGCAGTGCCGCAGCAGCAGTGGGAGGCCCCATTAGCTAAAGTGGTGCTTCAAGTTAAGAACAGTTTCAGGTTAAGAACGGACCTCCGGAATGAATTAAGTTCTTAACCCGAGGTACTACTGTAGAGGTGATACTTTTGACAGTGCAAATTTACTATGAAGGATAATCCATTATATTCAATGGACCTTACTCTCAGGAATAAAACTCAGTAGCACTTATTTTTGAGTATACCTATTGTGTGTTTCGGGGTAGGGGTGGTTTGACAGCATGATGCCTGAGTCTCTTGTAATTCTTGGGCTCTGGATCCAAAGAGGGTTGAAACCTAATTGAGGATTCCATTGTTGAATTAGCCAAGCAAGAGTTCTAAGTACCACCTAAGTGTGGTGGTTAGGAAAACAAAGGCAGTGACTTTGTGCCAGAAGACAAATGGGTGGACCTCCCTTCCTTACCCAGTGAGAGGGATCATAGCCAGAGTTGAGGGTATGTGAGCTGGGATAGAGGCAGGCTGCTGGCAGCGGCTGGGTAGTGAGAACCATGCTTGATTTCTGATTGATTTCCAAGGCTGTGACTATGGAAGAAGCAAGGGGGTGTTAATGCTGTGAGCCCGTCCATCTTAGGCTTTGCAGAATGAACTATTTGCTATTAACTATTATAACAGAAATTACCAAGTTTGAACATTCTGCATTTGCATTAGGTTGCCTTTCAGAGTTTTTGCATGAGGATATATTTAAAGAATACAATAGGGAAATTCATGAATGGCAAATTTAGAGAACACAATAGACAAATCCATGAATTAATCTCCTGCCCCCTGGTTTATAGAATTTTAAAAGAAAAGAGGCGAATAAATCAGCGTCTTTATCTAGTATGGATTTACTGTAATACTACTAGTGTATTAATGGCACAGAAAAGTTTAAAATGTACCACACATGGCAAAAGAAAGCATCTTTTCAACCACCATGAATTATTGAAGGCTTCCACTTTAAGATGAGAGTCCACCTACACATTCTTAAATATTGGCTTAATTTATTGCTACTTAATATTCAAGAGCTCAGTGGCAGAGTATATACTTTGCATGCAAAATGTTCAAAGTTCAGTTCCTTGCAACTCCAGTTACAAGGATCTCATGTAGCAAGGCTAGGAAAGTCCTCTGAGGCTTTGAAGAGCCACTGCCAGGCAGAGTGAACCAATGAATGTGCTTGGCCTCACAAGATATGGTGTGTTTCTTTGTAGTTTGCAGGCAGGTATCAGCAATATGGCTGCCCCTGTTCTGTCGAACAGCATTCCTGTCGAGATATGGCAAGTGCCTACATTCCAGAAACAGTTGAAGACAATTTTGTTCTAATGGGCTTTTTCAACAAGATATTTGAGTCTTTACCACTTGTCAGGAGTTCAGTCTTGTTTAAAAGGTATTATTTTGTTTTTTTCAACTGTGTTCAATTATTTCATGTATAAATTAACTTTAGACAGTAGTTTAGAAGGTGATTAAAACATTTGTTGCAGTAATAATAATAATAATAATAATAATAATAATAATAATAATAATAATTTTATTATTTATACACCACCCATCTGACTGAGTTTCCCCAATCACTCTGGGTGGCTCACAGCAATATATTAAAAGCACATTAAAACATCAAGCATTAAAAACTTCCCTAAACAGGACTACCTTCAAATATCTTCTAAAAGTCAGATAGTTATTTTATTTCCTTGACATCTGATGAAGAGTGCTACTACCTCTGCAATAACAACAACAACAATATTCAAGAACATATATCCTCTGTCACTTGAAAGAGTGCAATTCCAGAAATCTGTGCAGTTTTTAAAAAACATATAACTTCTCCTTTTAGTTCTAATGTGACTGCTGTTAAATTAGGGTGATATATATGTGATTATATCCTTATCAAGCCCATGTCCTGCTACTTACTAATCTCTCTGGTTGGTTGTTTGATTCAGTCAATCATGTTTTAGGCATGTTCCCCCCACCCTTTGCTTTATGTGACATATTGCCTGATGAAGAGTTCTGGAGAAGTCAAACACTTGCCACTTGGGTGGTATTTTGGTCAGTCCTAATAAAAGTATTGCCAAACTGTGGATTTTGACATTTTTTTTACTGCGTGTTTCCTTTTACAAGTTTTAGTTCTATCAGAGTTCAATTGTGTGTTTTTCAGCTTTTCTTATTTTAATCTGCAAGCTGCCTCAACTCCCTGTCAGGAAAGAAGGTAGGTATAATTTAACAACAACAACAATCTGTATATTCTATTCAATTCCTTTATTTAATTCATGAAATCATTTATTAGATCCCAGTTTATTTGCATTTTTAAAACAATAAAATTTGGAGATGCAGTATTTGCAATTAAAATTTTGCATAGTACTGTATGTTTCCATAGTTTAGAAAAGTGTACCTGTTATATTGCTGTTCCTGTGTCATTCTTTTCAATAAATACCAAAATCAAATTGCTTGCTGCTTAAAATTCTTCAGTGAATGGCGTAATTATGATTTTAATGCTGTGCTGTATGAAATGTCTGATGGTTTTGTTTTTTTAAGGAGCTGTGTTTTCTTTCATTTGAAAGGCATCTTTCAAGATCTGAAAGGATGGCAGCAATTAAAAAGAAAATACTATGGGGACAAGCCTGCAGTGTGTGGAGGGAAAGATTGTTATTTGTTATTTACTTATAAAATTTCTGTACCGCCCTTCATCCAAGGATCACAGGGTGTTTTACAATATTTAAAAAGAAGAATACATAACAAAAGAAAACAATAACCCCTCCCCCCACAGTTTTAAAGGCCATAGATTGTTTAATTAGCCAAAGGCCTGGGAGAAAAAGAATATTTTTGCCTGGCACCTAAAGACATGTAACCAAGGTGCCGAGCGAGCCTCCCTCTTCTGTGAAGTTTTTCATAAACTACAGTAACACCATGGATCCCAAATGCCTTGGTACTCAGACGTTTTGGCTCCTGAACGTCACAAACCCAGAAGTGAGTGTTCCGGTTTGCGAAAGTGCTTTGGAACCCAAACATCCAATGAGGCTTCCGCAGCTTCTGATTGGCTGCAGGAGCTTCCTGGAGCCAATCAGAAGCCGTGCTTTGGTTTCTGAATGTTTTGGAAGTCAAACGGACTTCTGGAGCGGATTCTGTTCGACTTCAAAGGTACGACTGTATATGTAAAAAAGGAGCAAGCTTTCAAGAACAGATTATTCCATCAAGCGTAGGTTTATGCTTCATTGACTAGTCAGTGTAAACCAATTACAAAAATCTTGTGTGCTTAAACTTGATCAGGTTAATTAATGATGATCTCCTAGCAGCCCTTTCAATTGTTGCCATACAGTTGGTGTCCATGTACACTCGTGTATTAAATGGAAAGGCGATATGGTGGTTCTGGTTGCTGAATCAAGTGAACCAGGATAGCAGATGATTAAGAAATAGCAGAAAGAAAAAGAAGTTTGTTGCTAGAACAAGATTAGTTATCAACATCAGTGGATGTTATCAGATGTTGAAGCACATATGGAGCAGGATACACCAAACCACCAGCAGCTGCCTACTGACACTGGTGTAATTACAGGTAAATGCAAGTAGGTCTTGGATTCCTTGACTGAATTAGGAAACCATTCTTTTTTGCACCTTGCATAGTCCATTAATGAAACTACCAAAATACTTAACTGCTTCAGGAGCAGACTTGACAGCAGGGATTGGAGGACTTATTTCAGCCTGAACAGTTTCCATGAACAGCGCTCCATTGATTTTTGTGCATACTTTGTTAAAACAATTTGTAGTTTTAACTGTAGCACTGACATTGGTGGTGGCTGGAGAGTCATCTGTGGCATGCAACACCTTCCACCAGCTACTTGCCATCGTGGACAAACAGTCTGGCCGCAGATATGTACTTGCTTTGGTAACCTCTAAATTAGACTGCTCAATGTGCTGTACGAAGGGCTGCCTTTGAAGGCTTCTCAGAATTGGTTCAAAATGTTGTTGCTAAGTTACTAGCTGGGAGCCACTATTTAAATAGCTGTGGTGGCTGCCATTCCACTTTTTGGATTCAGAGCACCCACTGCTGCCACCTTCCCTAACCCAAGCTATATCTCTGGGCTTTGGGGAGGGGGGAAAGGTAAGGCAGCAATTCACTGGATCCTCCTTCTGATGAGAGTTATGCTTACCTTGAGCCTGCTCATGGGATTCAAAGCAGACACCTGACAACTCTTCAAGATGTGAGCACTCTTACGCCTCTCTCCTTTTTATGCTTTTTCATTGCTGAGAGGAGTGCAGCTGAGCTATAGCCACACTCTGACAGCAGTTGCCAAGGCAGTGCCTTCTACGTAGATATACCGTATTTTTCTGTGTATAAGACGCTCCCATGTATAAGACACTCCCTATTTTTTGGGACTCTAAATCGAGCCAATCGCACATCGGCAAAGCCACCAATCGTCTGCACGCTCGACAAAAGCAAGCACCAATTGCCCGCCCAATTGCCGCAGCAGCCAATAGCCAGCGGACCTTGCAGCATCCACCAATCACCCGCAAAAATGCCACGGACAATATCCGGCTCGCGGCAGCCACCAATCGCTCATCCCACTTCTCCACTGTCTGTGTATAAGACAACCCCAAGTTTTTAGCATAATAGTTTAATAAAATAACCTAGTCTTATTATATGGTACTTGAGCTGCAAGTCCCATCATCCCTGACTACGCACTAGCCAACAAGCCCACTGACTTATCACTATAATCAACTCTGCATCTGGATTGAGTTTGAAAATATTCACCTCCATCTACTCCACCGCTGGTGGCCGGCATGGATTTTGAGACCTCAGACCCCATCTGGAAAAGAAGAAATAAAACTGAGTTTCGTCAGCTTGCTGACAGAGTATAAAAGTGAAAAACCTTGGCATTCTGAAGTACACCACAGAACAATAATATATTATTATTTTCCTTGTCTATCATTTCAAGCCACATAGGTATACCCAAGAGGCAAGAAGATTAATGCTTTCATCTTCTTATTTAGTAGACTGGACTGGCTCTATTATAATCATGTTAGTAGTAATCATGTTAGTAGGAAGACAGAGTATGGATTCCACGGGTGGCTCCCACTCAATATATGATTATCTCAAAAGCAAGTTAACATTTGAAAGTGACTTGTAGCCTCCTCCCCAAACAAAAATTACCGTACTGCCGCTTCTGAGGTAATGCAGAAAACATTATTCACCTGGGGTTATTTCAAAGCAAAACACAGAGAAAATATAATTTTAGTAAGCTGGCACTGACCCAGAGGTTGAACCAAAACAAGCCGCAAACATTCAGAGACAGAAGCAGAAATCAAAGTATGACTGTAATTAAAATGGGGTTTTTATGTAGCCTTCATTCGAATGTATGAATACCTTTTTTCTGAACAACTGCAGACCCAATTTAAAGATGGAAAGAAGAAATTGCATCCTTTGAGGTGCTGCAAGCAGAATGAAATGGTTTTGCAAGCCCCAGTATTAAGACACTTGTGTAAGTCTCAGAAATGAGCCCAGCTGAACAAAAGCAGACATTTAATGCACTTTATTCTTGTTTAATTCATAGAATCATAGAATTATAGAGCTGGAATGGGCCCCAAGGGTCATCTAGTCCAACCCCCTGTAATGCAGGAATCACAACCAGATCATGCATGACAGGTGACCATCCACTCTCTGCTTAAAAACCTCCAGGATATAAATATAAGCAGGATATAAATTGCATCATTAAGACTGCAATCTGATACCTACTTGCCAAAGAGTAAGCCCCACTGAATTCAATGGGCCACACTTCTGATGGAGTGGTGTTGTATAGAATTGTGCTGCAAGGCTGCAATAATATACAGTCATACCTTGGGTTACAGAGGCTTCAGGTTGCGTTTTTTCAGGTTACGGACCACTAAAACCCGGAAGTACCAGAACGGGTTACTTCTGGGTTTTGGCAATCGCGCATGCGCAGAAGCGCCGAATCGCAACCAGCACGTGTGCAGACGTGGGTTGCGAACACTGTGGGTTGTGAATGTGCATCCCACACGGATCACGTTCGCAACCTGATTGTCCACTGTATACACTTACCTGGCAGTGAGTCCCACTACTGCTTATTTCTGAGCAGATATACATAGGATTGCACTGTAAATAATCTGTTGGCTATAGATGAAGAGCGTTTAACGTAGAGACACTGTGGCAAAATATGCTAATCTTCTGAAATTATTTGCATATAATGTGATTTGTATAAGCAATTATTATGTCTTCTGGTTCGTTTAATTAAATGAAACTGTTTCCACCATGAAATATCCTCAAACGTCTGCATGTACTGAGATACTACAGCATCTATCATAACTGATTAATCCATCCATTTAAACAGCGAATCTCTATAATCCGTTGATAGCCCTACTATGCTGGCTGATAAACTAACTCTTTAGTCTGGAGTTGTGATCCCATGTATAGTTAACAGAATCAATTCGCCTACTAGTAATTTGAATCTTATGGTAGATATGGGTAGCCACTCAGCCTAAAATACAGTGCCACACTGGAAAGTCGATGCCCAGATTTTCCCACTGTGCCTATTTCACAAAACATAAACCAAAGCTTTTATTTTTGATGGTCCTCACAGCTTTCTTTTCTGTCTCCAAATTCTAGTAACACAATGAGTCACAGTAAGCTTAAATGAACAACTACAATGGAGCCAACTACCCTCTGTGTCTGATTTTAAATGACTGTTTTGTTGGAAATTTAATGAAGCTTATATTTGGGAAACTGAACCTGCGCTCTGAAATGAATGAGAAGACCTTCAGCCTGGAGTTAATAGGGGAAAAGATGATTGCTTCTCCAAGAAACAATGCAGCTGTCAAAATTGCTATTAATGTGTACATACTTTTAAGACTCTCTTCATACATAGAGATTCATATGAAGAGTGTGGGCAGATGTGGAACAGGAAGAAGAATGGGACTTGTTAGTCAGTGTGAACATATTCCTTTCAATTAATCATAGCAACCCTTCAAAGCTCTTAAGGGAAATCATTAGAGTTGCACTTTCATATTCCTTCCTGCAAAAAATAAAATAAAAAATTTTTAAAAACCTACACTACAATATGTCTTTAGAAAGTAACCATGTACTGGTTACCAAAAAGCTTTGTCTGATGTGTTCCAAAAGAATAGCTCTTTTGAAATGTTTAGCAGGTTATGTTGAAGTTAATTAATCCTGTTTGATGTAGGCCAGGGTCTGAAGGCACATGGAGCCACATTCTCACTGAAGCTAAGCAGGTCTGGGTCTGGTCAGTACCTGGATGGATGAGTGACTAGGAACCACATGCATACTTCATTGAGTTCCATGCTACTTAAGCTGACAAATGTGCACAGAGACAAAAGTGATGCCACTGGTGATTTCCAAAGCGCAAGGTTGAAAATGTGGGTCATCCTTAGGTTAGATCAGCACCATGCTCTAGTTACAAAATACTGCTGAAGCCTGTTGAGTGCTGCTGCTTTATCTAGGATTATTCTCCACTGGAATTATGGAATCTTAGGTAGACAATGCACATTAGCCTTCCCAAGACTAAATCTGTGCTGTACAGAAAAGCAAATGTGTGCAACAAAAAAATCCTTTTGAGGTCCTCCAGACTATCACTACTATGGAGGAGGGATTCTGGATCCCAGAAAATTAGTTTGTACAGTTAAAGTGGATTTGAGCACTCTGTTATCCCGTGATGGCCTTCATTGATGCCCCCCCTCAGGCACACTGAACTTTTATTTAAATTCTTTTAAATAAGTCTCTAGCCCTCCTAGAAAGAAAATAATGAAGTAAAGTAAGCAATTTCTTTGAAATGAGCCAGCTTGTCTGCTCCTGCCTGCCAGGTTTTTAGCCAATAAGTGAAGTCAGAGCAGTGATTGATAAGTGAGTTGTTTGGACACCAGATGATAGGAATATTTAGAGTCCTAAAGAGCTGCTATTTTCCCCTCCACTTTCTTGCACTTTTCCTGCTTCTGTCCTATTTCCAGTTCTTTGAATCTCCTTAATTTGCCTTTGCAACTTTACTATGGTGGGTTCATCTTAGATCAGGTAGTCCTTAGAAGTTATTTTCTGCAAATTCTATTATTAGAAGAAAGTCTCTTTGTGTAAGCCCAGTATTTGGTTTAAGATGGCACTAGAGAAAACTTGGAGTTTGTGTCTATAACAGCTGCATGGCAGGCAGAAATTAAAGTATGAAAATATAGTTATGGACAAAGCTTCACCACAATTGCACTGTCTAATTTTGTGTTATGCCATGCCCCCATGGCAGCCACTTTGTGATTTACATCCATGACAAGTATAACTCCAGCTATTTTTATTTATTACAGATCACTATTGTAAAACTTAGTTTGTATTATATCATAGAATCATAGAGTTGGAAGGGACCCTGAGGATCATCTAGTCCAACCCCCTGCAATGCAGGAATCTGCAGTTGTCCCATACGGGGATCAAACCTGCAACCTTGGCATTACCAGCACCACGCTCTAACCAAGTGGGTTGATATGCAGGCTGATATTTCTTTTATTATTTATTTGGGGGCAGGGGGTTTTATATGATAGAGTGTACTGCTTAGATGTTCCATATTAAGGAGTACAGAGATATGTTAAATAAATAAAAGTAAGTAGATCATATTCTGCAATGCAGGGAAGTTACATGGTAGATGAGATAATGAGGAGAAGGTTCCCCATAGGCAGAAAATTTTAAAATCACTGCTCTGCACGATGCCCCAAATATGTCTTCGTCTTTTAAACTGAACATGGGAAATAAAGCCTTGACAGCGAGTTTGGCCCTTCCAAAAAAGGAAAACCTGATGCTTTTCATGTCTATTTATTGTATAAGCTTTTTGTCGCTCTGCTTCTAGTTAGCATGCCATGTATATTTACAGAATAAAAGAGGAGGAGGCTGACTGACAAAACAATTCTATAGAGGCCAGTTAAGTTCAACATATGCCCTGAGTTGAATAAGGCTACCAAACTGGAAGAGGTTTCATAACTGTGTCTCATGATTTGAGCATATTTTTTCTTTCTGTAATCGTATGTCTACTCTGATTAATGCTATATATGTGTGTGTGTTTACCAAAGTATAGCTTAAACGTTTTTGGTAAATGAGCTCTGTCCTAGCTTCTGCCAACCTAGCAGTTTGAAAGCACGCCAGTACAAGTGGATAAATAGGTACCACTGCAGTGGGAAGGCAAACGGCGTTTCCGTGCGTTCTGGCACTCGTCGCGGTGTTCTGTTGTACCAGAAGCAGTTTAGTCATGCTTGCCACATGACCCGGAAAGCTGTCTGTGGACAAATCCCAGCTCCCTCAGCCTAAAGCAAGATGAGCACTGCAACCCCATAGTCACCTTTGACTGGACTTAACCATCCTTTTACTACCAGGAAAATCTCTGCTGGACAGCACAATAAAGATGCAGTGGAGGCAGCAAAGTATACCTTCTTTGCTAGGTAGGCTTGATGATGAGGCCTCACTTGTATTTGATTGCATTCAAGTGGAGTTTTCCTCCACCGGCATTCGAGCTTGCTTCTTCGCCCTAAGCTCTGGAGTATACTTGTTGTTGTTGTTTAGTCGTTTAGTCGTGTCCGACTCTTCATGACCCCATGGACCAGAGCACACCAGGCACCTCTGTCCTCCACTACCTCCCACTACCTCCTCTGTCGCCCCCTTCTCCTTGTGGCCTCCATCTTTCCCAGCATCAGGGTCTTCTCCAGGGAGTCTTCCCTTCTCATGAGGTGGCCAAAGTACTGGAGCCTCAGCTTCACGATCTGTCCTTCCAGTGAGCACTCAGGGCTGATTTCCTTAAGAATGGATACGTTTGAT